GTTCGATGAGCAGCGTGCAAATGGGGAAAGAAGAAGGCACAAATTCGTAGAATAGAATCAACACGCTCGACCTCGGGAGGTGACTTACTGCGGCAGTACCTTAGCCACTGTCCGCTCTCACCTAACGCAACCATATCACATCTCAACTCAACTCTGCTCAAAATTCAGACTCAACATACCTTGATTGCGTTAGCTAGGTGTTCTCTAACCCGACCGGAATGTTGCAAGTCTTCTTCCGCGTTGGAGCGTGCAGGCCTGGAAAAGAACAGCATGGTAGGAGCGACTGGAGGAAGTGGACTGGGCAACAGCCATCCGGATCCGTCCTGGCTTGCAAGCAACCTCTTTGCACATTTAACCTTATTGACACGCACTCCGTCACACCCCCGTGGGCCTACGCTCGGAGTTCTGCCGCTTCAGGTGCAGTCCGGCCCAATTCTTCATTACCTACTTTACAGCATGTAAAAGCATCATTCACGGCTTGCCCGACTCGCTAACTGTACAGAGCTTATTCGTTCGCTCAGAAAACCCTCGAATTGGCGGCGGCCGGATGCACCATCTCCCATCGCCATCGCAGAGCCGGTCTTGCGGATCACATTCACTATCGTGGTCTGACTACCTTCGTCATCGGCTCTTAAGCTGGCACCCGGCACTTATCTCCCTCGACATGTACCGAGAATTTTGATCCGCGGATTCAGACGCAGATACTCATTTGAATCAACATGCATGCCTGTTTGGCCCCGGCTACTATCAGCCTTATCCACAAGCAATCTGAGGGACTCGACCCTGGTCGTCAGCTCTGCCCCCTTCTAGAACACGAGGTTCTTCAATTTCTAGGTGATCTAGCCCGCCTGTCGACGAGTGGCGTATCCGGCATACCGGGTCTCTACTCGTTTCTAGAATTAATCGTAGAAGAAATTCGGCCATCTCTGTAAAATGAGACGATCAAAGGCATTCAATGCACCCAGTTCCAGGACCCACCGCCAAACAGGGCCATGCTGCCTGCTTTGAGCATCTACACACCAAATGCGTCACAACAAGAAATTGCCTTGCTCATCTGGCACGCGTCCATAGGAGGCGCTGGGATGGTCCCGTGGACTCGGAGCGCACATATTGGCGGAGTCATCATTTAACGGTAGGGAACATGTTCAAGTTCCCCAGTTATCGCGAAGGATTGTCCGGCTATTCCCCTGATGCAGCAACCAAAATAGTTGCGTACGTAAAGCGCAGCTAAAGCAACATCACAGATTATTAAAGTGTTGTTGCATGACGGGAACAATCATCCATGGCGGTCAAGTGGCCCGGTTCAGTTCAGACTCTGACAATGTCGGAACATGCAACAGTGTGTCGAATCTAGCACAGAACGCCCCGTCACGTCAGTGGAGGAGCAAATGCATGGTTACGCATGGCCTCGTTAGATCGCTCCCCATTCGAGCTTAGCATTCCGTCATAGATGGGCCATGGTGCATAAGGTCATTGCTAGATCCCTCAAGACCCTACCTGACAAGCATTGGTTCGATGGGCTAGTAGTAGCACGTTCTCATCTCACTTTTTATTTCTTTTTGTCGAGTTCTCAAATTTGTGATCGATCAGCAGTCATACTCGCCAGCGGGAAGTCCGCGTACTCGGTAATACTTTACTTTAGGCTCAAGACCTGGCTACGGTACCTAATGTCGTGCGACCTGACCCACCCCATCGAGACTCCTGGGAATTGTCTTTGCTTTTTTCAGCCTGCTAGCCTTGTCTCCTTGCCTTTGGCCCCCAAACGCCTTGCCCACAGGCTGTCCAGCCCTTATGCTAGGGTTTCGAAAATGTCTGTGAGCATAGTCACATTGGAATTGGATTTTCGGGAGTGGGATGTGGGCTCATGCGCCTAGGGTTTGCGAACCTGGCAGACAGAAGCCACTGTACTATTCTTGGGGTCTTCTGAAAAGTGATCTACAACTCCCGGGCGCCTCCTGAGGCACAGACCAACAAACGTGCAACAACTGGAACGTTTAGATCAAGCCATTTGTTGTTCGAATCGTCTCGGATGAATTTCCCTCTTGAACTGATTAAGTCAGGCTAATCTGCCCTCGGCGCATGGAGCAACTGGCAACTACAGTATGGATTATTCGACATGATTGGGAAGGGAAGCCGACAGCACGGCCACTACATCCACAGGTTCTTGAAGGGTGGTTAGCCCCTAAGTTTGCTATACTAATTGTGGCTTCGTGGACCATCAGAACATAACATTACCAATATAGCTACCTGGCTGCGTTCTTACATGGGAGTCGGATATCTAGGCCTCCGACATGCTTTTAAGAACGACCAAGAAATTACGGACTTGGAGGTATCCTCGGATGTGAAATCTCCAGGACCTTATGACTCCTGGTCATTTGACGATTTCCGAGACGGTCAGAGGTCTGTAGCGCTTCAGCCACCAAGACCCCACACGCAAGAACACGGGGCTGTCCTCATGGCCCTTGTAACGACTCCACCACAGCCTTTATCTTCCAAACACTCTTGTCTCAATGTGATGTTCTGTGGCGAGCTTTGAACACTCATCTTCCTGTTACGGAAAGTAATTACGGAGATTGAGTATTTGCAGTATCAACAGCGGGGCTGTTCGTGGGCATCATTTCAACGACGTCAGACCGGCGAGATTGCCATTACGATTGCGGCTCGTGGGGCCTGCCTATGCTGGGTTCATGCTTGGTGAATAATCATCTTTCATCATGGAGTTCTAATTTTCCAGCTTCTCTACTGACACGTGTCAAGAAACTACAAGCAATAGCTCAACTTATTCCCGGTCGATGTGGAAATTGGCCATTTCTCCAACCTTCCAGGGTGGCTACGTGGTTCACCAACTCGAAGGCTCATCCACGGTACGCCGTTGAAGTCACAAAGGGTCAGAAATGCGCTCTGTGTCGTTCGTCATCTCGGAATCAGCCCTCAATAGATTTCACAGGAAGTCTACCAAGTGGTAGGCGGATCATATCAATATACCTGTTAGTAGGTATTCCTTCGATATTTTGCTTTCAACTGCTAGGTTGAGTGATAAGCTTGTCTTCCGCAGAACGGAAGTATGACTCGATAGAGGTGATTGAGACACACTTGACTGTAAGCACATTGAGTGGTTGAAGCGGTTGAGGAGACCTCTGGCCGTTGAGGACTAGATAGTTCCTGTTTTCTGTTGCGTCTGCCCTCCAAGTTCTCATGTGGAAAGAGTCATCTAGTCGAAGCCGCTTGATCAAGCCGAAGGCTCCGATCGTTGGCGTAAAATGCCATCAACCTTGGAGAAGACTGGTGCTGATTTTCCCCTCCAACTTGCGAGGTGGCGTCCAGGTTTTCCTTATTTCGCGGCGCCTACTTCCGTATACCTGTTTTGTTCCAAGGGCTCAGAACCAATGAAGCCATTGGACGCTGCTGCTTAGAACCACCACCAAAGAGAAAGGCGTGAGCGGCAAAACAGACTCAAATGTCAGTTGCATCATGCCCATGCAGCCGTTATCTTGATCCAACGCTCAATGGCCGTTCCTGCAGATGATTTAGACTCTAGAGTGGCGTGTTTTCCCTTGTGGTGCCTGATCGAGTCAAGATCAGGGCAAAACGGCCAATGGTCAAGAATGCAACAGTGGCATTGCGGTAATTCAGGTACACTGGCTTCCTTTACGTCACGGCCGATCCTAGAGGGTTCCATCGATGTCACCAGCCTGGCATCATAAGGCAAATTCGGGAGCCAAATGCGTCACTAGTTTGCTTGCAGAAAGCGGAAGGCCCGAGAGCATACAGCATCTGCTGGCCACTTTTGCCAAATTGACGCTGACAGTTAACTGCAGTGTAGATGCTGTTTCTCAATGCAAGCGCATGTGCTTCCTGCCAATGTGGCGCGCCCGTGCTGCGGTGTTAATATTTCTCGGTGCAATCGGGGCGAATACGCGCACATATCATCAATCGGAGGGAACATCAATTCGAGCGGCGATGACACTGCAGAATTGCTGACTACAGATTGAACGACGGGACACAATACAAAGGACTGAGGATAAATGCAGGGCCAATTGGATCTCTACACAGGACAGCACTGTGATGAGTCGCACAACCCTGGGGAATTGGCACTTTCTGCGAATGTCCAAGCACTTCAAATGATACAAAATAGCGCTTCTTCACAAGAAGTCGAGAGCGGGACCGTATCCTTAATACCGCCTTCCAGTTTCATGTTAAGGGATGAAAGCAGGCCGGTCCTTCAGACCGGCGTTCCGCAACAGCAGCTCATGGCATCCGATACGAGAGACAGAGGACAAAGAGAAAGACAGAGAGCCGGCTTGCTAACTGAGATTGCGACGGTCCAACATCTTTCATCTCGTGCTCTTTGGCAGAGAGCAACAACCAGGCACAGTTTCCGCCTCTGTGGGTTAGTGGGGTAAAAGCATGGCTCTCGCCCCGCAAATGCCCTCCGGCCCGCTATCTGTCGTGTGAACTGTTCGCATTCTGGCCTCCCGTCTACCCGTCGAGAACCAAGATATGATGAAAGACCGCTGATAACTGGCAAAGGATTGAGCACGTGCGCGTCGACGTGACTGCGAGTTCTTGCATGTTTCAGAATCCATGGGGCCTCCTTCAGAGACAGCTGCTCGTCGTCTGGCCGCACGAACGTCAAGGAGCTGTGACCACTTCCTAAAGTAGATAGCCTAGATAGGCAAATGTTTCAACTGCACTTCCTCGAACCATTTCTGAACGGCTCCTTATGATGAGCGTTTCGTCCGAACGTGATATCTCAGGGGACGAATTTTGCGGAGTAGGAGTCTGCGCAAGCGTTTACAGACTTCTATCTACTAAGTAGATCTGCCGCGCGGGCCCATCCGCGTTGAGTCATTCGAGGTGAACTGCCCGGCGGCGTAGTTTGAACTGTGAAGAGTCATAAATATTTCGGTGTGTCGATCGTCGCAAGCGCCGGCGCTGCAAATTCTCGTACACCGCGACGACAACCGTTGTGCATGGTCAGCGCAACATATCGAGGAGACATGGAAAACATAGACACAATGGGCTCCGAGATGGACGCAGCGGTCCTACACGGCGGGCTGCCGCTCGACCCGGGCTCGCTCTTCGTGCTGTTCATCACGCTGTGCGGCTTCATGCTGCCCATCTTCATCCTGTTCCCCCCGGTGCCGCCGCGCAAGAGCGACGCCCTGCTCGACACGCACACCAAGCTCGGCGTGGAGCCGGCGCAGTCGGGCCTGAAGGACCAGTATGTCGAGCGCCCGGCGACGAGCGAGGCCACTGTCAAGAGCATCTTTGTGTACCCCATCAAGTCGTGTAAGGGCATCGAGGTCGCGCGCAGCAGGGTGCTACCCACGGGGCTCGAGTTTGATCGTCTGTTCACTTTTGCACAGCTCAAGAGCCCGTTCCCCGTGGCGGTGGGCGCATCGGACGAGGAGAAGAGCAGGCACCGGTGGGATTTCATCACGATCCGCCAGTTCCCGCTGCTCGCAACCGTCGAGGTAGAGCTGTGGCGGCCGGATGTCGCCAAGCTTCAGGCCAAGCGGCAGAAGGCGTGGGCCCAGACGGACGCCTACATCGTCGTGCGCTTTCCCTGGCAGGAGCCCGGAATCAGGGGGACTCTGGCTTGGCTGGCGGCTAAGGTGGCTAGGGGCTTCAGCGCAAAGCCGGAGAAGGAGTTCATCTTGCCAGTCGAGTTCCCCTCAGAAGAGGAGATCAAGGAGAAAGGGTACACCTACGGGGAGGTGAAGATCTGGAACGAAATGCCGCTGGGTCTGAATATGAGCAGCGAGATTCCTCCTGAGCTGCCGCGCTATCTCGGCGTCAGCAACAAGATGGGCCTCTTCCGCGTCGACCCGACAAAGCTGCGCGAGGTGTACAGGTGTGCGCCACAGAAGGACGAGGCAGGCTACCAGCCCGTCACCGGATTCCAGGATGCATACCCTCTTCATCTCATCAGCCTCAGCAGTGTGCGGGATCTAGGGTCCAGGTTGCTTGCGAAAGACGAGAACATACTGAATCTCGATGTGCGGAGGTTCCGAGCTAACATCATCATCGACGGCCAAGAGGCGTATGAGGAAGAGAGTTGGAAGTCAATACGTATAAAGCCTTCTGCAGTCCAGGCAGCCCAGACATCAGGACTAGAGGCAGCAGATTTCCACGTATCATGCCGAACAGTCAGGTAAGACACATTTCGACATATCCTCCTTGGACACGTACTGACAGCTATCTGAAGGTGTAAACTCCCGAATGTTGATCCCGCTACGGGCATTCGTCATCGCGCGGAGCCAGACAAGTCCCTGAGGGCACTTCGGAATGTTGACGAAGGCTCGCCAAAGAATGGCTGCTTGGGCATGCAGCTCTGTCCATTATTTAGCAAAACGGATACCCCTGATGATCTAGAAGAGTTCATCGAGGTGGGCCAATCAATAGAAGTGTTGGAGCAGGGTGCACATTTATACATAGAACAATAATGCGCGCGCGCGCCTTTAGACTAGCGAGTTGTACGTCAAGAGATAGAAGTGTAATTCAAAATACAGCGAATCATAATTAAAACCAATCATTAAGCCGTAGCCTACTCGTTGTGCACCATATCCATGTCATGAGGTATACCCAAACTACAAGCAAAGTCAAAGCCCTGTCATCCTACACCACTATTCGTCACTCAATGCTTGACAATTTACCTCATATCCGCAGGGGTCAATGCCTGGACCATACTTGTTCCCTCGCTAAACCGTGTCCTGAAGATGCGGTTCGCATTCTGGAACATGCCGTCCTTCAAAGAGACAACAATGAACTGCGAGCCCTTGAATCGAGTCTTGATGAGGCGGCCGATGTTCTGTGTGTGAGACAAATCCAGCGCTGCATCGACCTCGTCAAGAATATACATGGGCGCAGGCTTGAACTGGAGAAGGGCCATAATGAGGGATAGGGCAATGAGAGATCTGACGAGCTATTAGTAATTGATTGTAACATGAGGCACAACGCTGGAGCACAATACCTTTGACCACCGCTGAGTTCTGTTAAGCTCTGCTTCCACACCTTGCCCAGGCACACCTTGACCTCCAGGCCGTCGCTGATCGTCTTGCCCTCGGGTGGATCCAGCTTCGCGAAGCTGCCACCGGGAAGAATCTCCGAGAAGATCTCACCGAAGTCGCGATTCACTTTCTCCCACGTCTCATGGAGAGCCTTCTTCTTGTAATCATCAAGGCTGATGATGGTCTCTTCAATTTTCCTCTTGTCACGAATGACCGTCTTCATCATGTGCTTTAGTGACAGCTCCTTCTTTTCAACACTATCGATCATGTTCATGACCTTCGGGTTGATCTTCTTCTTCATGCCCTGGAAGCGCTCAGTCAAGTTCTTCAGCGTCGACTTGCATTCGCTGATATTCTGGCCCTTGAAGTCGTACGGAGTGCCTGAGCGACCGAAGTTGTCCTTCTCCTCGGCGATCCACTCGTGCTCGTTCTCCATGTGGGCTACAGCTTGCACAGCGTTTTGTTGCTCCTTGTGGAACTTCTCGACTTGATGGCCGAGCTTCTGCATTTCTAGGCCCTCCTCGGCAATTCGAGCGTTCTTGGACCGTGTTGCCTCTTCTAGCGCGCGCAGTTCATCGTCGAAGATGCTCAACTTAGCGCGTTCTTCATCTAGACGTAGTTGGACGGAGTCATGGACCTCCTTAAGCTCATCACGCTGTTTGGATATGTCCGCAATTTCATCCTGCTGTGACTTAATCGCTAGATCGATTTCTTGCAGCTGTTCCCGAGCGGCGGCGAGATCGCCGGAGACCTGTTCTGAGTCAAGCTGTGCCCCTTGGAGCTCCTTCTGCAAAGACTTGACAGACGCTGCGTGTTTCTCCAGGGATGATCTCAACTTGTCAAGAGATGATTGTAGTTCGACTAGTTTGCCGTCTTTGTTGTTGTCGAAGTCCTTCATGTCCTTCTCAATTCTCTTGACGTCAGCACTTGCCTCGGCTTGCCTCTTCTTCGCCTCCTTAGACTCATTCTGAAGCTGGGTAATAGTCTCCTTCATATTGGCCACCTCCTGGATGATAGATGAGGATGAGTTACCGTTGATCTGCTCTTCGGCGAGCTTGATCTCGTGAGACTTGAGGTCCAGCTCTTGCTTAATCTTCCGTGCCTGATCTAGCTTAGACTTCTCTCGGGAGATCTGGCCCTGAAGCTCGCTCAAGGACCGTTCGGCTTCCTTCAGCTGCCTTGTGATTTCATTGAGCTTCTGCAGAGTGACCAAGACTCCACTTGAGTTTGGCGAGCTGCCTCCAGAGAGAGTACCAGATGGATCATAGGAGTCACCTTCAAGGGTGATACTCCTCATCCGCACATTTGGATCGAAAGTGACCCTCTTAGCGGTGTCGGCATCGGCACAGATCAATGTGTTGCCGAAGACATAGTCCATTGCCGCCGAGACCTCATCGTCATAGCCGACAAGGGATAGAGCCAAGTCGACTTTGCCAGGGGCAATCTTCTGGGCCGTCGCAATGGTCTCGGCTGAGGCACGGAAGGTTGAGATCTTATTGAGAGGAATAATAGTCACACGCTTCCGAAGCTTTCCATTCTGCAAAAGTTGTGTACCGGTTACTTCGGTGTCAACGACGACATTGTAGAGACGACCACCTGCGCAAATCTCCAGAGCGGTTCCTGCGCGAGTGTGCTCCTTGTCCAGTGTGAAGAGCTGCGCAACAAGGCCCTTCACCTTTGACCTGTCAAAATTCGGTGTTGGGTCGGCGTAGTTGAAGTCAATGCCAGCCACCTTTCGCTTGAGGCCATCAGACTCTTGTCTGAGATTTCGAATGGTCTGCTGCAGTGTACTCTCTTTCTTGTACATATCCTCCTCTGCGCCAGGCTGGAAGCCGAGCTTGCCTAGCTCCTTCTCGAGTTTTTGGGCTTGCGATTTGAGCACATCAGTTTCTTTGAGCAATCCTGCATTCTGCTCTTTCGCCTTCTTGGCCCGTGGTTCCTCTTCTTTGATCCTCTTTTCGAGATGAGCAATCTTAATTTTGGCCTGTTCTTGCTCGGTAACAGAAGCAGTAACACGATTCCTGGCGTCTTGTAGCTGACCTTGGTAACCGTTCTCTTGGCCTTCCTTGGATGCCACACCTGTTTGTAGAGTCTGGAGTAGCTCTTCCTTCGCTTCGGCCTCCTGTGACTGCTTTTCCTGTTCCTCTTTTGCCGAGTCGTATTTGGCCTTGATCTTCTCGTAGGCCTTGGTCTTCTCCTTCAGGGCGGATTCCAACTCGGCGACACTCTTCTCGCCGGCTGTTCTCCGCTCCCTTTCCTCAGCGAGACTGGATTTCTTGAGATCTATGACAGTTGCGAGACGAACGAGCTCGTTTGAATGCTTCTTCACATCCTCCTCGAGCGCTTGTGCCTTCGCACCCTTGCGGAGCTCCTTGTCGCGCTGCGACTTGACTCTCTGAACGTCCTCCTCGAGATGTGCGATTTCGCTCTTCAACCGCACGGCCGAGTCCTCGAGGTCTTTTTGTCTTTGTTTCTTGCCTTCCAGGTCTGCGGCAGATTGTTCGAGCTTCTCCTGGTACCTGACGTAGTCATGGGCAACTACTACCCTGGTTAGGCGTTCAAGATCGTTTTGTGTTTGCTGAAAGTCCAGGAAGGCACGTTTTTCTGTGCGGAGCTTCTCAAGCTTGGGCTCGATTTCCTCTTGGAGCAGTTCTCTGATTTCTTGCAGTTTCAAATCTTTCTTCGCCATGGTCTTGAGCGCCTTGTCACGACGGTCCTCAAACATTCTGGTGCCGGCGGCCTCCTCAATCATAGCCAGAATTTCCACTGCCTTCATATTCAGGACTTTGGTGATTTTTCCTTGCATAATTAGGAAGTTGGGGTTGTTTATATTCAGCTGCACAGACTGGAAAAGATTCTGGACCGTTTGCTGCTGTGCTCGGTGTCCGTTGATGAGGTACTTGGACGTTCCACCGAGGACAATCTGGCGCGTTACGCTGATGGTCGCATATTCCTCGAATCCAATAGGGGATGTCTTCTTGTCTCGATTATCAAATACAATCGTGACGCTGGCTTTCGTTACACCGGCCTGGCCGCGCTTGTAAATGAGGTCCTGGTCCAGATGTTAGTCTTCGCTCGAGCGGGCCTGTCACCATCGTGGCATTCATACCTGGAGATTCTGCGCGCGAACAGTAGACATGTTCGTAATACCCAGAACGAAGCAGATTGAGTCTAGAATATTGGACTTTCCACTGCCGTTCAGGCCGGTAATTGAGTTGAAGCTCTCGTCCCTGTGAGTCGTGGTTAGCAATTTGCCATGGCTTTGTTGTTGCGCTGCGATGCGCCTTGTTTACTTACCATCCTGAAATGACCGTCCGGACGGCGTATGACTTGAAGCCCTAGATGAGGGTTAGAAGCGTGCATCGCAAGGTAATCACCGAGAGCTTACATCTATGATCACTTCCGTCACTCTCATGTTGGCGACGTTCCGTGAATCTTTGCAATTGTTGTCGTTGGGCCACTGATGGTTGATGGGGGAGGGCAATGTTTAACCCTGGCCCAAAACGCGCGAAAGTAAACAAAAAGCCGGCAACCGCGACCGTGACTAGCGCAGCCGCCACACTCTCACACTCACACCCCGCACCACCTAACCACTGGCGCCTGCACTGTACCTTGCCGGCGCCTGATGACAGCTACCTACTGCTAATCCAGCCTTACCGTGTGTCATATTTGCGCTACATCAATGACCAGACTGTAGAAGGTCCAAACTACTGTACACTATACATACCGGAACTTTTATTGTTGACTGTCGTATGTGTCTACCCTTTTCATAGACCGTGTTTGTTATAAAGTGCAGACGTTTTCCATGTGACCATGACCATGGCAACACTGCGTCAGCAAATAGATACTGCCCTTTGGGTGCGACAATCTACAAAGCTCGCTTGGACTGGCCTCATATCATACAATTTTGGCCGTACCGTGCCGCATGGAACCCGGGAACGGCAGAATGCGCAGGCCGAATTGCACCGGACCGCACTATTATTCTCTGGTTCCAACTTGCATTGGCCTGCGTGACTTCTTGCTTGACTTTTCAGAGCTAACCTCGAAAGTGTCCTGAAACTGCTTGTACTTAACATGATCATCGCCTCTAGCCAACCCCGTTCGTGTTCGAATGTTCGAACGTGAGGCCATCTCGTCAGCTTTCACCAATATCTCCATCTCGGCCTCCTTGGCAAGCTGCCGGAAAGTCCGTCTTACTGGTAGAGTACGCCTTTTTGCAAAGGCTCCACTGCCACCGACTGCCTAATGAGTAAGGTCAGGTCCGCCTATTCAGGGTTGTCTATCCAATCTCTCCCCCGGATCACCTGCGGCCCGTGATGAGAGTCCGAGTCTCACCATTTTTTCCTGCTATCTATCCGAGCATGGGCTCCGCTGTGGCCCTACGGCGAAGATTCCTCATGCCCACACCGTTGCGGCAACCTTCGCGGGGCTGATCTAAGCCAGAGCTAAGTAGCTTGCGGCGTAGGATCTTATATAAGTCTCGAAGGATTTCGACCACCAGTTGAGCGCATAACTCAACCTCTCTTGACTTGCATCCTTTCCCTGTCTCTACGCATTTCTCTTTGTCAGCCATGGGAAATACAGACGAAATCCCCCTCAAGTGCGAGGTTGTTGTTCCCAAACCTGGGGATGAGCCGCAAAGTATAACTCCTAGGTGGTCAAGTAGCCGGCTTCAACTTCCAGCCCTAGTCGTTGTGCCCAAGAGTGACGATGACGTTGTTTCTGCTATCCAATATGGAAAAGAAAAAGGGCTCCGTGTAATTCCCAAGGGCGGCGGTCATGGCAGCTTTGTTCCCATCGATTCAAAAACTCTATACCTTGATCTCAAAAACTTCAATAAGGTTGAGCTTGACAAGGATGCTGGCGTTGTCCGCATTGGGGGTGGGGCGGTCGTCAGAGATGTCATCAAAGTCACAACAGACGAGGGGTTCTACACCACTTGGCCAAACAGCAACGCCGTTGGTATGGTGGGATGTATCCTTGGCGGAGGTAATGTACGATAAGACCGCCTTCTTTGCAAGAAGTCCAATAATTGACTGACCTATGCTCAGAACGGAATGAATGGACTTCACGGTTTCATGATCGACAATGTCGTGTCGTTCAGGTTAATCACTGCAGAGGGCAAATCGCTGGAGCTGAGCTCCTCTTCCACGGGTGAAGAGAAGGCATTGTATTATGCCTTGTGTGGAGGTGGCCTTGGACTTGGAGTCGTGACGGAGTTGACTCTGAAAGCATTTCCGATTAGCGCTCTCAACATGCAGGAAGAAGGAATATGGACACGGCGTCTGATATTCCCTCCCCCGGCCATCGGTTTCGCCGCTGAGACATTCCTCAAGCTGCAGCCACCACTTCCGAGCATGAACACTGTTCTGGCATTCATGAGAGCTCCGCCAGGCACACCTGCTCCGGGAGCGCCAATGATCGCGCTCACAGCGATGTCATACGGCCCGGGTCAGGAAGCAGAGAAAGCAATGGCCCTTCTATTTGATCCAGAAATCATTGGAAAGGCCATCAACCCGGCTACCGTATACACCCCTCTCCCATTGTCAAGCGCCGCGTTTGAGCCGCTCAATGTTCATGGAGACTTCAAGGACGGGTCATCAAGCTTCCTCAAGACACTGAATGCCGAGACCATCACAGCTGGATTCCGTCAATGGCTCGAGTTCACGGACAAGTACCCCGATGGAAAGCGCACACTACTCGTCATAGCCGGCTTCAACACGAAGAAGCTTGCTGAGTATGGTGAGATCCCGGAGGGCAAAGCGAAGTTTTGTGAGATCCGTGATAGAAACTTCTTTGCGTCAACATGGGGCTGGTGTACGACTCCCGAGACTGCCACCGCCATGTGGTCGTTCCAAAACGAATTCAACGCACTGTGCCGAAAGAACGACACGGCAATCCCAAGAACATTTGCCAATAATCTTACCCCCGAAACGAAACTTGAAGAGCTGCACTCGGATGAGAAGATTGCTGAGCTGAAGCGGGTGAAAAAGACATGGGACCCAGAAGGCCTGTTCTGGAGTCTATATGGAGAGAAATCGAGTTGAGCAGGACAGGAATGTTCAGAGATCTAGATTGTCTCCACCACTTACAATCGATGTCGGCTCGGTTGAGACATGAAGCCACATTCCCATGTACTTGACCTAGCACTACTTACACCCACGGCTCGTCACATATACGTGGTCATCCGGATGAAGGACCTCCACCAGCGTGATGCAACATGTCTAATTGCCGGTAATACCCGGCTCGTTATGAATCCTTGAACCAATTGTAGTGAATGCGTAAAACCAAAGTACAGACTGAATATTCATGAGCACGGCGCTGATATGGCAGCTATCATGTCAACTGTGGCTTTTACTGTAGTAATAGTAGTGCGGTTTCGTGTGGCTACACGCGTTTGTATAGGTAGAGAGGTGGTGCACTGCTGAAGGGTAATTCGTGAGGAGTGGGGGCAATGATGGCACGAATTCCACCCAGTGGGGTTGGCCATCTCCTTTGGCAGGGAGCCCTGCCCGCCAATGTGCTTCAGGAGACCAGTGATAGCCCAGGGATACGTAGTCCTCATAACGGGAGCTGCCCGCCGCCGCATCCTTCCATTATCAGCCGCCTACCTCGCTCTATCACCACCAAACCATCCGCAATCGTGCAGCAAAGCGATCGAATTGGCTGTCCCGGGTCCTGCAGGTCTTCCAACATTGAAACCGCATTGCTTCATCTACCGCACAGCGTCCTCTTTTGCAAGTGGTTCTGATCCGTCTGGAAAGCTCCAGTGGATACTTGTCAAGTTGGCTCCGAGCTGGCTCTCACTAGCTTAGAACATCGACATCGATACACACGACATCGGATGCTGACGACCAGCAACTGCTTATACTGAGGCTAGGTGTTATTACATACCTCTGACCGAGGGGCATATCAATCATCGATGCATCGCCAGTCGAACGACACGCCCCTAATCTGATGCTGGAGTTGTTATACGACGCCGACGACGGCTGCTGCTGCTGCTGCGTGCCGAGGCCATCATCGGTCAGTCCGTGAGGATGCCAGAGTCTACCCGCAGACAGTCTCCCATCTCCTCCTCCGCCGCAAGTCTCTCGACTCTCAGCCTCGATGCCGACGCCGCCGCCGCCCGCCCGCGGAATCGACGGATCATCAGCAATGCGAACCCCTCTTCAACCTCGACCTCGACATCACTGTTCGCGACTGGCCCGCCGAGCCCGTCTCCGAGCCGAGGAGCAAGCCCACTGCCATCGGCTCGCCTGAGCTCGACGGGTGCGGCAGGGGCGCGGAATACCCTAGGCGACAGGCCGAGCGCAACAGGTAGCTCTGCCGGTGGCAAAGGGCTTGGGTCATGGGCGACAAGCTGGGCTTCTGTGCAGGATCTGGCCGCTTCATGGCTCTCGGGGGGTGAGGGTGACTATGATAATGACTATGACCGGAAGGATAAACGCAATGGGAGCCGCCCTGGCAGGCCACTCCACAGAACGTCGAGTGGTGTGGCAATACGGAGTCAGCCTAGCAGCTGGGGACCAGAGCCACCTGGCAAGTCCAGGCCTCGTATTGAGGACGTGGCTGCAGGGTCCCTAGCCCAGCGTGAGGCAGCTTTGAAAGCTAGGAAAACTGCCAGTGTTCTTGAAAGCCATGAGGGTGTCAATGGAGGACTAGATGTTGCAGGGAAGTTCAAACAGAGGTCATCGGACGAGAACCTTAGAGGCACCGCGACTGATCAAGAAGTGGAGGACCAGCTTGTCTACATTCACCATGTCCAACCAACTGATACCTATGTGGGGATCGTGCTGAAGTACAGGTGTAGAGAGGATGTATTTCGGAAGGCAAATGGGCTGTGGTCAAGGGATAACATTCAAATTCGGAAATGGCTGATGCTGCCGGTTGATGCGTGTGAGATCAGGGGAAGGCCATGTGAAGGCCCTTCATATTACTCACAGGATGTTGACCTTTTAGCAACCACACCACAGCCAACCCTCACACCGCAACAAAGAGAGCAGTCAAGTGAGGACGACTTCTTTGGATCCTCAAATGGGAAGGCGGCAGATCAGACACCTACTGAGGTGGAGGAACGACCATGGACCCATGTTAAATGGGTCACCATTGACTCAATCAAGCAGCCAGTCGAGATTGCACGAGTCTCTCGAAAGGCTCTAGGGTTCTTTCCTCCTCGAAGGAAGAAAAGTCTCCATACTGTCTCGACGCTTTCCACTCCCCGAGGCTCGATTGATGTGCCAAGCATTACCCTCGGCTCTGAAGCCATTGAAAGCCCCGGAAGCACATCCTCACGCAGACATAGCCTTCTAAATCGAAATCGCCCCCAGTTTGCTGCGGCCTATGCTTCATCCGCTCCAACCCCTTCTCGAAGTCGGGTAGGCAGCGGTGACCCCGACGACTTGCGTCCGGCTTGGATGAAAAGACCAGGTGGAGTCGGGACAATGGGGAGGAGCGTGAAGATGCCAGGACCCGAGAAGGACTATTTCAATTCTTGGGCAAAGAAACACATGCCGGGTCTCAACCTCGAATCGATGCCGTCCATGTCGATCATGGGCTCGGAGACGGCCCATCTCAACATCGATAGAGACGAAGTCGCTGGGATCGTCGAGAGCCCCTTCGAAGACGGCCGAGATGTAACATCTACAACAAGGCAAGGCTCCGGTCTGGACAAAGCTGCGGCGGCCATCGAGACATGGCTGCGCGGTGCATTTGCAAAGAGGCCAGGAACACCTCTTATTGGTCCACTCCAAGGACGACAGCTTCCTGAGGAAGGGGATCTTATCGAACTCGAAGATACGAATAGCGACGATGGAAGAACTATTAATGCCTCTGGTCTACTGGACCAGACAGGCCCGAGTCTGCAGCACTCGATGGCTTATGGGTCATCCAGCCGGAGTGCTGGAGAAGGCACTATCAGAGGCAGGACTTTTACGCCAGCGACTAGCATTGGCAAGGGTAAGAAAGCCGACTAGCTAGCTAGCATACTATTAGATGATCTCAATATGTTGGAGTCAGGAATGTCCATGCATCAAATGCATCGGAGGCGTTGGAGTAGGTGAATGATTCTTTTTGTATATACCTTCGTCGGTGTTGGTAGTTATGACGGAAGCAGCGCTGGCGAGCATTTTGAAACCATAAGCGCAAATAGACGCCTTCATTTAAGCACTTAATCCAAACGAATTGGCCCATTCTCTTTGTATGAAGGAGGCTCTTATGAGGTTTAAAGCTACTATTCCTTACGTGGCAGTAGTTTGGTCCACGAACCAGAAATTTAGAGGGGCACTTTCAACGCGCTTCGGGTCCTGCGTAAGCTGTCGCGACGGCAAGCCGCCACCGGCTTCCACTTTGCAGCGATACCACCATATCTAGGTAACATAAACCTTGCAATGTTCGACAACGAACCCGATCGGTAACGAACAATTACACATTGTTGCAAGAAGGAGCAACGCAAATATTTCCAGATGCCCATTTGTATAGAGTGCCGGCATCCGGTCAAAACGCTATGGACACAGTATTCAGGAGCTGGCGACAAGTCCAGTGGCCACAATATCCGGCTAACAGTCTGCAAGAACTGCGGCCGGTTCTGCGACAAATATGTCGAGCATGACTTCGTCGTGCTCTTCATAGACCTTGTCTTAATCAAGCCACAGGTATGAGAAGCGAGAAAGCATTGGCTACCGGAGCGCAAAGTACTGATCTGGGACATGACGGATAGGTCTACAGGCATTTGCTGCACAACACCTTGATGCGAGACCGAGACCAGTTTGAACCGTCGATAATACGCCTCGGAGTTCTCTTGCTACTCTTCGACGTGTACCTTACTTGGGCGCGTATTGAGAAGCAGTCAGTTCCAGACTCGGCTGGGGCAGAGCACAGCAACTTTGGCCGGCTTGCACAGCAGCCCATTGTGTTTCAGTATATGTTCTTCCGTACGTGCCCTTATCTGTTTACACAGGCTCTCGCGTGCTTTCGTCGATGTCTCTTTTGCTAACGATTGTTTGTACGTGGCAGTGATCCTATGTACACTGTCTACACTGGCATTTCACATGTCAATTCGCTTCCTAACGTCGTCACCTTTCTCGCCGTTACACTTCTTCGGCTTTCTCCCAACCTACTCGCGGCCGAACTCCGTCTCTACAGCACTCCTCGTCAGCTCGAGCACCAAGCTGTTTCCCATACTCATGGTCATATGGGAGTACGACGTGCCTGCAGCCGCTCGATCGCTTGGCTGGGCAGTGGTGGTGAACAATGTCGAAGCCCTGAAGATACTGCTGGATTGTGGGTATGGTGTTGCCATTCTACTAGCTACTGCAGGAGCTCTGAGCCGCTGGATCGTCGGACGGGCAGTGCTCTGGGCAGCCGGATTGGAAGGCGTGGACTCAGTGGGCGATAGCAGCGTCGCAGAGGACGGGAGAGCTTTATGGGCACTCCTTGTTTATCTGAGAGAATGGGCCGGTAGGCTGGCCGTTGGGTAGACTTAGACGTAGACGTAGACGATCATGATGTTTTTAATATAACGATATTTACCGCATTATCTGAGTCTACTGGAGTCCCTCATGTCACTCCGGGACATGTGACGCCTATCGCAACTATTTCGCAGATGCCGGTAGTGCCTATCGAGGATCGCAATGTTCAAACCCATCTGCCCCCAACGCCGGCGATGTAAATATGACGGATATTTGTACAGTTCACACACTCGTTTAGTTTCCTCCAAACCGCACCCCTCCGTTCATTCGTGTAGGAACTTGCTTCTTAGGTCGGATCGTCTCGGCTCGATCAAGGGGTGCAGCTGCGCCATGAAGGTAATCGCCCACATCAGGTAGCAGCTCGTGAATGCTAGGATGAGGGATGATCGCCATAGACTGCGGAATTCTCAGTATGGTTCTGGTCAAGGAGCAGACTGATGAGCAAAACTTACACTTGGTTCTCGCCCTTGGGGGAAAGGAACCATGCGGCAGCAGACATGGCTGCTACGACCACGAAGCCGATGATGACGCTCCACCTGAGTACATTGTCAGTATAGTCGACCACAGCTGAGCGATCAATGGGATTTGTACCCGTTGGCCATCTTGATATGTTACAGATCCCTCGGTAATGATGGATGGTCTCTGTCCTGTTGGTGCGGAGCAAGCTGTGATGCGAGATGCTATTGCTGCGGTCTAGAGAGGTTGACGCTGGAGCTCCAAAAGCCGCAGGGCTTGGCGTGAGCTGTGGCTGGCTTAGTCATCCTGCCCAACTGCCCAGCTTATTTACTTTCAATTCCTTGATGACAACTTATAGCATCACATTTACAGCGCGTCACCACTTATCTCGAATATGCGACTTGGCCATGAGATATAGTATCTGCTGACATAAGTCTACGAATATTCTACATGGGGATTTGGCATCATGCTGTCTAGGGGTTTTCTGGTTGTTTCAAATATCGCCTTTTCCCTTCCACATAGAGATCTCTCAAGCAAGTGCTTAAGCGTCATTCTCAAACTTTAGCCCAGCATCTTGTCGCACGGCTCCATAGATGCCGGCGATGTCACCCTTTGATCCGGCATGTTTCTGCACCTGTGACAGATGGGCATCGGCCGTCTCTACGTTTAACATCTTCGTCCCTGCTGTCTTCGCCATATCCTTGGCATGAGCGGCATCCTTTCTCGCCAGGTCAACCCCAAAAAGGGGCTCCTCCCTCTTCCAATAGTCTCCACCCAGCATCCTACCTGAGTAGCCGGCATACACGCCCGGGAAGAGCTGCTCGAGGAAGCTATGCAGGTACTCGGTACCAAGCCCGCTCTTCTCGGCGAGAACATGACCCTCAGCGATCTGCTCGACCATATTCAGAATAAACGAGTTGCCTAAAATTTTGAGCATTGATGACTTCCGGTACGGCTCATCGCTCATATCGATCTCGGCACGCGCCATCACCCCCTTGAAATAAGGCTTGGCCCTGTCAACAGCAGCCTTGGGTCCGGCGAGGACTGGAATGAGCTGACCAGCGTCAGCCGCTGGGGGTGCGCCGAAGACGGGCGATGCAACGAACTCCGCGCCCCGAGCAAGGACCGCCTTGGCCACCAATTCGGTGGTGTCAGGATGGATGGTCGAACAATCCACGATGAGCTTGCCCTTGACATCGCCCTTGACAATGATGGCTATGGTGTCTTGAACAGCCTTGTCATTGGACAGACAAATGAAGATGATGTCAGCTTTAGTAACGCCATCTTCGAGCGATTCGATGACTTCAGTCTTGCCTGCTGGCAGCTTCTTGCTGAGGTCAGTTGCTCTCTGGGTGGAACGGTTGTACAGCATCAGTGGTGAGTCCAGGGGCCCCTTTTCAACGAGATTCTTGGTCATGCCCTACTTCTCGTCAGTAAATATTGTTCATCATGCTCAATGCCTAGAATCTCACCCTGCCCATATTCCCCAACCCAACCCACAAGACTTTGGGAGCCATTGTGTCCAGAGCTATGTATTTCCCAAACTCAATTAGATACTAGGTCAAATTGACAGTTTGCTTGGACTCTTCAAGCGGGCTGTGAATCTGTCGAGAATCAATTCGGTCCCGAATACTACCCGGGGATCGTGCCCTTATATACTTTAGAGGATGAGACAACTTGAGATTGCCAGTGGGCACTCAACCTCCGGTAGAAAGTCGACCCGGAAACACCTTTTTGATAAGGTTTTATTAAAGCTTACTAATTTCTGAAGAAGCTGGAACAAGTTGTTCTTCCAGTCCTATCGCATTGAAGAAATGGGGCTGGAAATATGCGTATGAGCCTGGTGTTTCGTTGTATGAGCCTGGCGCCGTTACGAGATATCTCAAATGCGCGTGAGTGTTGAGGTAAGCAGATAGCATGACTACCACTAAGGCATCTCCGACCCGAACGCTGCGGGGAACAGAGGTGCATGCGGGTCGGCATCGGGATTGACGTAGTTTGGAAAGCTTGACCTGCCGGATGAACTAGACAATTCTCTAGAATCTAAGTACTTCTGCTACAATTGGGCTTCTCTTACTCTCAAAGAGTCACCAGCATTGTCCTTCACTTTGTGTAACTCCCTTGTGCACCTTGCTTGCCTCGTGAATTATAGGGCAAATTATATCCTCTTTGCTCAGCCCCAACATCCCTAAGAGTACTTCATTAGAAGAAGATGATGAACAGATTCATAATCGAGTAAGATTGGTGAGTTCAGCATTGATGACTCTTACACACAAACGCTCGCGACCCGAATACTCGCGAGGTGGCACCAGTCTGCTCTTTCTCCACTGCAAGTAATCCCGGAATAGTAGATCTACCTGTATAGTCAAGGCGTGCGTAGAGACACGGCAAAATCCACAATGCAGCCAATGTGAAAAGTGTTAAGGCTCTATACTCAGGATGCAAGCTGTTCTTCTATGAAACGCCATAGTCAGCCATTGAGTCGATGATCACTAACTCTTCATCTTAAGAAGTGTCTCCCTGATTAACACTAAAGCCTCTGTAAATTACCTCTTTGGCGTGCCCAGGAGGTGGGCAGGTATCTAGGTATGCCCCGCTGGCAGGGGAGCTCCTTATCAGCTTATCGTTCCCCAGTTGAGTCAGAACCTTGGAACAACCGATCAGCGGCATCGTAGCTAACTAGCTCACGAATAAGTTACGGTAACTAAAGGAGACGTTTTCTTGCGTCCATTTCTGCCAATTCGAATCTCTTACTACATATCAGATTACGAGGAAAGGGGCTTCCGCACAAAATGCATTGCAAGTCATGACTTCACGAAGCGCGGCCTGGAAGAAGGCCAGCTACATAGCTCAGGTATGCTCACTGACCGCCACAGCCCGACCTCAAGTGCCTCGGCAATTCAAACCATCATCGCAGCTTCAATCATCAATAGTTAGCTAACCTGAAGCCCCTAGGCTTCAATTACAAAGACACAGATACGCTTAAAGGGCACATCATCGGCGGCATCTGTATCTCACAAATTTCATGTCTCGTCGCCTAAGAATGGCGGGGGGAGAGGCGACCGGCCGCTAGATGTGAAAGCAAACTACGCATCCATATCCAAGAACGAGGAACAGAAAAGATCACAGGAGAGAGTCGGTAAACCTTCAATTGTACTTGCACACTTTCCCACTAACGCAGTTTAGGATTTTTATGTGTCTGTCCTGGAATCATCTTCAGCAACTAAGCGAGATGCAAGGCAATATCTACAAACCTTTGGAAAAGGAAAGCCAAAAGCACCATCATCCCCCAAGACGGCTGCATCACTGGAAGGCCAAAGACCTGCCAACGCGTATGTCCTAGAGCACGGCACCCAAGCTGTTAGTGACAGCCCAAAGTTCATCCAAGGGACCCCTGTTGTTGATGTGGCAGCCCTTGAGGCCATTCCGCATGTTGCTATAATCAAGTTCCGAGAGCCGCAGTCTGTGGACGACTTGACACTCAAAGGCGTGGCGAAGACACTTGCGCAGTTGCGAGCTCTAGGTCTACCTAGTGTTGTCGTGGTCGATTGCGAGCTAGATCCGCACAAGCAACCTAACTGGCGCGCTCTCATTGACGAGCAAGCCAACCGTATCGCTTCAGAAATTGATGCGTACGGCGAGCCATGGACCAGGATTGTTGATACAGCTCTATCTACCAATCCTCAAGAGACCCTCAATGGCTCTCTATATACACCAAGTGCATTGATAGTCGGGAACGGGAAACTCTTATTGAACTCATTAAGGGCAGGATCAGCAGTCGTCATACCCTCCTACGCCTCCTCCGCGGAAACCCAACAAATGAAATTTGCAGACACTAACGAGGTTGTTCTCTCATTGACACGTTATCTCTCAGGCCTGCAGTTCTCTCCACAGACAAATAGACACGATGCGCCCTCCGAAGCTATTGTCCAACCTTCTAAAAAGGCTCACATCGATCGTGTGATCGTGCTGGATCCCCTGGGAGGAATCCCTGCCAAGCACAGGAGCAACAATGCACACGTCTTCTTGAACCTTGAGGATGAGTTTGTCGAAGCAAAAGCAGACCTTGATACGATGGCGTTCAACTCTGATCCAAACACGGCCAATTTCGTGAAGCAGAAATATACAGAGAATTTGGAATTGGCCAAGAAGACGTTAGCTATACTACCATCAACGTCCTCGGCCCTTATGACAACGCCTACCGAAGCAGCAAACTTAGCATCACGGGTGGACGACGGGTTCGATGGAAGAATTACGGGCTTCGTTGGGACAGTTGGGACAAGACGGACACATAACCCTCTAATACACAACCTCCTTACCGACAGGCCAGCGCACTCATCATCCTTACCTCTGGGTCGTATCAAGCCCATTGCTCGCGGGTCCGACGTGGCAGGGCCTACAATGTCGACAACAACACTTGCGAAAAGGGGCATGCCAGTAACAATCTTCCCAGATCCTCGCAAGACACCCTGGGTGCCGCCGGCACCTGGACAGCCTCGTCTCAAGCTGACGGATCGATGCATCGACTTACCTCGTCTAGTTCATCTCATCGACGACTCGTTCAATCGAAAGCTGGACGTCCAGCATTACTTGGATAGGGTCAATGGGAACCTGGCTGGCATTATCATTGCTGGAGAGTACGAAGGAGGAGCGATCCTTACGTGGGAGAAACCACCTGAGCTCGACGAAGAGACGGCGTATAGAACGGGTCGACTGGTCCCGTATCTGGACAAGTTTGCAGTTCTGAAGAAAAGCCAAGGAGCTGGTGGTGTTGCAGATATAGTCTTTAACGCCATGGTTCATGATTGTTTCCCGGGCGGAGTGTGCTGGAGGAGCCGGAAGAACAACCCCGTCAACAAGTGGTATTTTGAGCGATCTCGAGGCACATGGAAACTGGGTGAGACTGACTGGGCCATGTTCTGGACGACGCCGAACGTGACGATAGGAGATGAGAGGATTAGGGACTACGAGCAAGTTTGCCGTAATATCGCACCTTCGTGGGCAGACAAGAAGCATATTGTGGATTAAAGGGACGCAGTCCATTGTGTCACAAACCGGATAGGTTTTGAGGGCCTGTCATTAGGAGCATATAGACCCCCATGGGAAGATAGAAATAACCAAATGTTCACAATTCTAGATAAATATACGAATGGAGCCAGGAAAGCTGTGTTGACCTCACTGAATGATATGAATATACTTCTTAGACGATGGCACTTTGAGCCAATATGCAAACGCACGGACCATTGCAGTCGTTGCAGCCTGGCTGGAATCTGACGTTGGTAGTTGCGTGGGTGGGGGGTTTATTCCCCTGATGTTTCGCTTGTGACAGTGGAGCACACATGCCGTATTGCGCTCGTCCCCATAACAACCTACCTGACCTCACGTACCTTAACAGGTGTCTTTCGAAGCTCTACAATCTCCAGGTCAAAACCATCAATTCCACCAACCACTACCGTCGCCTTCCGCAAGTCATATCATCCTCGAAGCCATCTTGTTGAATTCATCACCTGTAGCTATGGATAACTTCAAGAACATCGGGAAGAGCTTCACGTAAGTCCGCACTGCGTCAGTGCGATTGAAGTGGGATAAGCCCAGCAGCTGACGACGCTATCACCAGTTCCCTAGGGGCCCAGATCACCCCTTTCGCATCTCGCACCTTCCAATACACGAAGGAGCAGCTCGGTCAAGCTGAGGATAAGGTACTTAATTGATGGACAGCTTCTTCGAGGTGTGGAAATACTGATGATCGCTGCGCATATAGACTCAGCTTCCTCCTGACTACATCGACCTCGAGAAGCGAGTGGACGCATTGAAAGCAGTTCATCAGAAGATGCTCGCGGTGACGTAAGTAATCAAAAGCAACAAAATGCAGCTTTCGCAAAGCTTTATCTCATCTCCTACCAGAAACCAATACTCCCATGAGGCTTACGACTACCCGCCCAACATCAAGGAGAGCTTTCAGGACCTGGGCCGCACCGTTACGGAGAAGGTTCAGCTCCTGTCCTCTGCCTCTTCCCCTGCCGAGGCACAAGCTGCTCTGACTGCTCCTCCGAGCGCGAAGCCGCAGCCGAAGACATTCCCCCATGCTATTGCCCGCGCCAGCTTGTCTAGCAGCCAGTCACTGCACCAGCAGCACACCGGCGCCGGCGAGGACCCCCTCGCTACGGCCCTCGAGAAGTATGCGCTCGCCATGGAGCGAGTCGGCGAGGCTCGCCTGGCTCAGGATGCCCAGATCCAGAGCCGCTTCCTGGCTGGCTGGACTACAACCCTGAACACGAATCTGATGTTCGCAACTCGAGCTCGCAAGAACGTTGAGAAGGCCCGTCTGACCCTCGATGCCGCCAAGGCTCGCGCCAAGGGTACTACATGGAAGCTTCCTGGATCTACTTCTCCTCGGACTGAGACCCATGAGGAGCATGAGATCAGCCCCGAAGCTCAGGAGGAGATTGAGAAGGCTGAGGATGAGTTCGTCACCCAGACCGAGGAGGCTGTTGGTGTTATGAAGAACGTAAGTGGATATAGACTTCATGATTTTAAAGAGCTTTCCTTGAGCGCTTCGGTCATGAATTACGACCTAGTAAGAACTAACAAGCCATATAGGTCCTGGACACCCCCGAGCCCCTCCGAAACCTGGCTGAGCTGATTGCCGCCCAAATGGATTACCACAAGAAGGCTTATGAGATCTTGAGCGAGCTTGCACCGACCATTGAGGGTCTTCAGGTTGAGCAGGAGGCAAGTCGTGCTTCGACTTATTCGATTTAAACGTGTCCACGTGCTGACATTGTCGGGAATGCTGCAGGCTAGCTACCGAAAGAGTCGTGAGTCCTCATCTTAAGCAGTGTCAAATCGCTGCGCACGTAAAGTGCCTGATTGAGGCCTTGGGAAGAGATAACACTGGATCGATTTTGGAACATTGATAGATAACCCTCAGGCTGGAGGGAAAGCTGTTCACTCATGCTCACCTACGTTCTACATTTGTTTTTGGCGGGGAGGACCTGCGGTTCATGTTTCTTCTACGCAGCTAGCTACGATTATAAGCTGGCCGGCTTCACTTTCGGTATGCCATCTCTATACTATTGAAATGTATCCAGTTTCCCAAATTTATGACTGCAATGCTCGTGATTATATGCTTCCCTGGGCCAGTTCGTTGGCCGCTAGTACACAGGTCAGTTGTGGCGGTGCAGATGCTCCCGGAACGGCAGGAAATTCTCCGCCTAGTGCCCCACAATTTTCGCGGCTGTCTTCCAGCCTGCCCTTGAATCGCATCACGATTGAAGCTCCGAAAGTACGTCTTGTCTGGGCTTTGTCGCACACCTCAACTCCCAATGCGGTAACCAGCACTTGACAGGATATACTACGCAAGATGGTAAGTTCCCGCGGCCCAAGTTACCCTTGTAACCCTTCCGGCTTGCTTTCATAATGTTTTCACGAATGTTGCGCTGACTCTGCGTCAACCCCATCTAGCTACCCCTCGGCCTGCTGAATGCGGCCCAGGGCCACCCCATGCTCGTCGAGCTGAAGAATGGCGAGACACTCAACGGTCATCTTGTTATGTGCGACACATGGATGAACCTGACCCTTAAGGAGGTGGTACAGACCAGTCCGGTATGCTCCCTCCTCAACTTGCCGTTGTCGCATCAATAAGAGGACTAACTCTAGTGCAGGAGGGCGACAAATTCATGCGGTTACCAGAGGTTTACGTCAAAGGAAACAATGTATGTTTCTGGGTGGCGATGGGCTGCTACGGCTGTGGCTTGATCATGACACCATGCTAACGAGGTTCTCTACAGATCAAGTACTTGCGGGTGCCCGACGAGATCATCGATACCGTAAAGGAGCAACAGAGTGGCAACCAGGGAGGCTTCAGAGGTGGACGCGGCGGTCAATCTAGAGGAGACCATGGCGGCCGAGGAGGCGATAGAGGACGTGGAGGAAGGGGTCAAGGCCGTGGACGAGGAAGAGGGCGAGGTGCTTGAGTAAGTGATATTAGACCTGGGGTTTATAACAGTATCGAGGAGAATCCTCATCAATTGGTCTCATATACCAACAAGCCAACTGTTGGCAAGGAAATGGGACATGTGGTGGCGCCTGAAAGTCGATACAGGCGAGGCAGGACTGGCAGCTATAGCCATGGCATTCAAAAGAGTGAGCATCATGCGAGTGATGCAATCTTGCAGATGCAAGATCTGGGGCTAATAAAAAAGAATAATACCTGTCCCTAGTGCTATGCCTTTTCGCAACGTATCGACTGCTATTCGTGTCCGTGGATGTTCTTGCTATAAGCCAGCACGTGACTGCTATTTGAGAATTATACCCGGCGCTCGACAAGCTTGGAACTTATAGCTTTTCTTCAACAGCGCTGATTGCACGACTGCACACTGGCCCATGGGAGCCCGCATAACAATCGATGGACTATGGCGATGCCTGTGTCCGTCGTTCGACGCATTTGCGTCGTCGGCATCGCTGACTATTCCTCCCAGAGCACAGGCTAGCCGTGCGGTAGCTTCTCAATGCTCATCAAGACCGTTGCGACGTCAAATCCGCTCGATTCACGTTACGCCCAGCGGACAACAGGCACAAAAGGCACGCTCTAGTCATATCCTACGCAAAGTAGGTGCGGATAGCGACACGGTATCCTGTCTGCTCCAGGCCAGATATCCGTACCGAGAGCTCATGACGGCTACCACTCCAGACATATACGATGCATTACACGAAATGAAAACCCGCCCGACTAAGGTTCGAGAAATCGCCGCATTTGTGCAATATCTAGTCAAAGAGCGCGGCGAGCCCCCCAGCACCGCGCTGTACGAATACCTTTTGCTGGCGCATAGCCACCAGCATGGCTCGATGGATACGGTTGCGGAGCTTCTGAAGGAGATGCGAACGACACAAGCACAGTGGTCCTTACTTGTTTATCACAATCTACTGCGTGTGCTAGCGGTTCACCCCAATTATTTGGAGAGGAATAGTGTCATTCGCGAAATGCGAGAAAGATGGCTTGATATCACGCCTGAGGGGCATCAGGACATAGCGATTGGTCTTCTGCGAGACGGGCAATACGAGTTGGCACTGGAAAAGATTGACGAGATGATCCACCATGGAATTCATATATACCCTTGGGTTTCTGATATATTCATCTACGTTTTTGGACAGGCCGGATTCGTCGAGGAAGCTCTGCGGATAGTTCACCACAGATTGCACTCAGCATCAGACAGCATTTCGCTGAATGTCTGGTACTTCCTTTTGGATGTGTGTAGTAAGCAATTACATCTAGACGGAACTAGATATGTCTGGAACAGAGCGGTGCAGCTGCGAGCCATCAACCCTTCTGATGGTATGGCGATCAATGTCCTCAACACCGCCACAAGACACAGTGATTCGCGGCTGGCAACACAGGTCATTCAGTACCTTACCTCAAGGGGAACAAAACTTGGCATACATCATTTCGAGGCGCTCATCGAGTGTTATTCTCTGGCGAATGATGTGAAAAATGCACTTCAGACGCTGTGTATTATGGCAAAAGCTGGGCTTAGGCCCGATGCTGGGAGTACTCGCTCCATTTATCTGTGTTTGAAAACGAAAGATTTAGTGGATCAGGCTATCAAAGTCTTGAGCGACTTGAGACTGGGCAATAATGTGCCCTTAGCAGCTTTCAACGTGGTGCTTGAGGCAGCTTTGCACAGAGGCGACTTTGACAAAGCGCTTGAACTGTATAGGCAGGTTCAAGAAATATGCCACACCGGCCCAAGTCTTACTACATATAAGCATTTATTAGGTAAATGCGAGGAGCCGGAAGTAGTTCAATTCCTTCTTTCGGAAATGGACGACTTCAAAGTCAAGCGGGATTCGGAAGTCGATGTCAGAGTAGCGGAAATATTTACGCTACATGGCGACCTTGCGACAGCTGTGCACTACTTCTGCGATCTGACGAGCGTGGGGCGGCCACATGAAATATCGCCAAGTAATGTTGAGTGGTCTTCGAAGCGAAACGTTGCAATGCGCTTACTTAGACGATGCGATGAGGAGACAGGGCCCAGCTCGGAGGAGTCAAAGCGTGTAATTGAGGCATGTCGAGCGAACTGCCTGGACCTAAGCACCGAGATCCGACTTCTGGAGGACAAGAGATTGAAGGAAAGTAACATCCAGGGCAGCGCTGCCGCGGAGAGCGAAAGTAGCGAACCTATCAGCCAAGAGTTAAATCACGGAGCGCTCGGTGGATGAGTGTCGAATCAGTATTGAATCATCAAGCCTGTGCATTCCTGTCTCACCGAATGGCAAACCACAATGACCTCTCAAGGCGTGGTGATGGTCGAAGTCTCGAGGCTTCATCCCTGTTCTCTTAGTTGGGCAACCATGAAGTGGAGATATAACAACAACAGCTTCGACACCTTGACATACAGCGAACACTATAGCGCCAGCTTCTTATCGCCTAATCTAGCTTACCATCAACACGAAAAATCAAATCAATGGATCTCAAGATAAGCTTACTCGCGCTGCCTAGCATTGAGATGTGACTCAGCACCGAAGAGACTCGTGGAACACTAATCTTCTCCGGTTGTACTGTAGAATAGGGCTTAGTCAATAACGGCAAGTTCCACGGAGCCCAACCTGCCGGAGGAATCGGCGTGGTGCCTCTGTATAGGGTTTCAAATCTGATGCAAGAAACTACCGCTGACCAGGCCTCATCTTGGTACCGCATTGGGGGGTTAAACAGGTACTTATCCTGCTCGACGACCAATGACGAGCAGCTCGGCCAGGTAGTGGGAGCTCGTTTCCTCTTTTGGGGGTGGGACAAGCCTCAACAATTCCACCGAAGTACACGGAGGAGAAGCAAGAAGAATCTGCATCCCAGTCAAAGGCTATTTACACCATTGAAAAGTGCATATGTAATCGCGCCTTTGTCGGATTTGGTCGCGGTTTCCAAACCCTCGGATTTATAATCTGGCTATGACGCAGAGCACGCCTAGCCATTTAAGCTTCTTTCTGGCCAATACCGCGGGCTACCGGACTTAGGCCCATTTATCAGCGATGGGGGTACCTCCACTTTAGCCCGCTCCCAAGCCTAAAGCCCGGCCGCGCATGGAACTTCGGGGGACTTAGTGATCTTCGTAAGGCTTGGGGGTAACGGAGATCGAGACCTGTTAAGATATGCTTCGCGCTTACGCCTTATGCCCGCGCAGATCTGACTCTTCGATTAACGAAACATGCTGTTCACGACTTCGGCCTCACCATTCGTCTCATCCTGTCAGCCCTGCCCATGCATGTCAGAAGTACACTGGCCATCCCAGAGCCTCCCCGTAAGGGCCGTCTGGTCTGGATTGTCATTGGCCCGTCTCCTTCATTCATTACCATAACGCAATCAATCCCTTTCGCCTTGTCACAGAACACAATGCCATATCCTGGTCTACATGTGAAGTTTAGACTTTCAGACATGGCGCCCAGTCCCCAGCTGCCGCCCATCACGACTCGGCGCAACAACCATGTCATTGGTAATCTCCAGTACCTATTGACCCGTCTCCGTGATACGTGTCTGACTCTAACGTTAATTCCGCCGCCTTCGCTCACGGTCATAGTGGTGATAATGCTTTGTCGAGACAGAGGGACGTTAAGCTAGCAAAAAGCCACAATGACAGCTATAAGAACATGCTGTCCCAACGGGTTGGTAAATTCACATTCCTTCTCGTCATCCCATCTACGTTGGTCTCAAAGGAGACAGATTAATATCTGGTCAAGTTGTCTAAGTGAGAGCATCTTGATCTTTCAATTTTTTGTGATACCCTCTTTCCCTTTGATATCAGCCCGTAATTTCTAGTCCAGTCAGCCACAACCTAAATATGGCGTCTACATCAGCTATGCTCAGGGAGTCCACCCTGGGCCAAATCATTAGGCTAGTCACCGGTGGTAAATATCTTAAATACCCTGAAGAAAGGGAGGACTTCAAGTTGCCGGAGACATGGGTCCAAGTCCTCAATGAGCACAACACTTCAGAGCAGACAATCACTCAAGGCCTGTTTGAGAACGATCAACCCCAGCCTTCCTCCGTCTCAGCGACCGATGATGAAGAGAAGCAAGGCGAGAATACCGACACAGAACCCTACGTACATGCTGAGGAGTCAGCATCAGGACTTCATCTGCATCGATCAAAGAGCAGAGAAGAGACTGAACCATACACAAGAGACAGGATGGAGGTTGATGAGGCACATGAGCTTGAGAAAACAAAGTCGATACCAATCGTACCACGGAAGACCAAGGACGGTGCCATCCTAGTTGACTGGTACTACAGTGACGATCCCGAAAATCCTCAGAATTGGTCCAACTTACGGCGAGCCATGGTCACTCTCGTCATCTGTATCTACACTTTCGTGGTCTACATGTCATCTGCCATCTACACAACATCCGAGCAAGGAGTTATGGAGAGATTTGGTGTCAGTGAGACCAAGGCTGCTCTTGGTCTATCACTCTTCGTTCTCGGCTACGGAACTGGCCCCCTGATCTTCAGCCCGCTCTCTGAGATCCCGTCTGTCGGTCGCAACCCAGTCTATGTTGCCACGATGTTCATGTTTGTGATCATCTCCATCCCGACCGCCCTGGTAAACAACTACCCCGGCCTCATGGTCTTAAGGTTTCTTCAAGGGTTCTTCGGCAGTCCATGCTTGGCATCTGGCGGCGCCTCGATCGGAGACATGTACTCGTTCTTGAGTCTGCCGCTCGGTATGGTCGCTTGGGTCAGTGCTGCTTACACCGGTCCTGCACTGGGACCTTTGCTGTCTGGCTACTCGGTTCCGGCTAAGGGTTGGAGATGGTCTCTCCTTGAGGTTCTGTGGGCCGCCGCCCCGGTCTTCATCCTCATGTTCCTCACTCTTCCGGAGACCTCAGCTCCCAACATCCTTCTCCGCCGTGCTAAGCGTCTCCGAAAGCTGACCGGAAACGAGCGCTTCATGTCTCAGAGCGAGATTGATCAGAAGAATCTGCGGACTTCAGCTGTTCTTATCGATGCCCTGATCAAGCCTCTTGAGATCACTATCAAGGATCCCGCGATTCTCTTCGTACAGATCTACACGGCCATTATCTACGGAATCTACTACTCCTTTTTCGAGGTGTTCCCTCTTGTTTATCCAGTTTACTACAACATGTCACCCGGCCAGATCGGCCTCGTGTTCCTCTGTATCCTGGTGTCCTGCTTGATCGGCGTCTCGCTATACTGCGCCTACATCATCTACTACCTGAACCCGCGAATCCGAGCCAAAGGCTTCCCCGTCCAGGAGAACCGCCTTGTGCCCGCTCTCGGCGCCGCCTTCGGCCCTACCATCGGCCTATTCATATTCGCCTGGACAGCGGCGCCCCAGTTCCCCTGGATCGCGCCCACCATCGGCATCACCCTGTACGGCGCGACCGTCTTCGTCGTCATGCAGTGCATCTTCATCTACGTGCCGCTCTCGTACCCGCAGTACGCCGCCTCGCTGTTCGCCGGCAACGACTTCTTCCGCTCGGCGCTGGCGTGCGGCAGCATCCTGTTCGCGAAGCCGCTGTACGGCAACCTGGGAGTGGCGCGCGGCACCAGTCTGCTGGGTGGTCTCAGCACCATTGGCATCGTCGGTATCTGGATCCTGTACTTCTACGGTGCGAGACTTCGGTCTCTGAGCAAGTTTGCCATCTCGACTGAAGCCGAGTAAGCGGCGAATAGTATGATCGACTTGTGTCGATCATGATCTTACTATTATCGAACAACGGAGGACAGGATATGCGAAACGGAACATCGGATAGAATGGATGGGTCATCACACAAACAAAGGATCTGCAAAGAAGCCATGAACTGGAAAGTCTTTGGGTGGGACGGAAAGGAGTTCTTTAGGCGTTTGGTACAATTTTATAGAGATATCACACGTAATAATGAACAAGAAAAAGCACTTCAGTTTTACCATAGTCTCCAAACAATGCAATGCAAAAGACTGATCATCGTACCCATTTCTAGAAGTTGTCGGCACGAATATTGCGCATGATGATTAACTTATGATAAAATGTTTTATTTCACGGTTGGCTTGCACCCTACCCCGAAGGCTTGGCCGACCAACGCTCCTCTTGCCATAATCCTGACCTGACAAGAATACATACATGAATGCTCACCTGGGTATCTAGAATGACATGTATGAGATAGAATATTCTGCTGCCCATTTTGACTCCTGGCCGAGTTGAAGAGTGACCACCCCCTAATATCGGCAAAGCGTATGATGTATGAGAAGAAAATTTACAATAATGCAGGACTCTCAATTGATTGTCTGCTGAGGTATCATCGGGCTACTCTTAATGCCCTGAATTGCCGCGCAAAAGTTCGTACAGAGCTTGATCACCATCGATATGGCCATGTTGCTGCTGATATGAATTGTTTTGCGAACTCTGGCCATAGCCGCTGGTGCCACTGTTACGGGAGCTCGAACGATAGTTATTCGACGAGCTATTGCTCGCAGAAGTGAAGCCATACCAATCTTGTGGCTGCGGGTTTGCAGACGTATGCGATTGAGATGAGTATGACCCATATAATACCTGTTGCTCAGGCTGTTGGTTGTACGAGCTCGACGAGGGCTTAGCTTGAGGAGCTGTCGACTGTGGCCGCACGTGGAAAGACTGGAGCGTTGATGCCTGCTGGGTCGAGGTGGAGGGTAGATTATAAGATGAGCTTGTGGTATTAGAATGATTCAGGTTGTAGGACTGAGCATTTCGATTGACTGATGAAGACCAGTTATCTGTGCTTGGTGCTGTGCTCGTTGAATATGATGCTGACGATGACTGAGTTACCGGATTCGACAGAGACACAGACGATGTAGCATGAGATCGACTTTTGGTACTGTCATAACTAGGGTATGTCGACGAGTTGTTATATGAAGGATGTTGCGAATATGGCTCATAAGCAATGCGATTACTGGCTTGGGTAGCTGCTTGGTTACTCGGGGTAGAGTAACGCGAGGATGAGTCGTACGCATTATTCGAGGTCGACTCTGTAGTAGTAGGTGCAGAATAGAGAGAAGTGCTCGCTTTTGCGGACGACTGCTGAGATCTGTGGCCCTGGCGGCTCTTAGCTCTCGAGCTTTGAGAAGTCTTCTGGAATGGTGAAGCGTTTCGCGCGACAGGCGACTGTTGTGCAGGTGGCTGTACAGCCGCCTGAGACAGAGCTGCCGCTTGCTGAAGGCCGTTATATGCCTGGCTCGATTCATAGGTCGGTGCGGGAGCCGACTTGCGATTCCTCCCCTGCTTGCCAGTATTCTGCTGGGACATGACAGGTGAAGCTCTATTCACCTGATTAGTTGATACAGGATTTGGCAGAGCCTGCCATGAGGCATTGGTGTTTTGCGTTGAGGTATAGTCTGTTGGCTTCTGGCTGCGAGGCACAGAGGGAAGACTCGTCCGAGAACTCGATCTCTCATCTGCAATGGTCGCTGGCAGCGAGATTGAAGTTGCAGCAGTGACTGGGTCGGGATATATACTAGTGGGCGGTGCCTGCGACTGATACGAATAAGATTCGTGAGTTGAAGGCTGGGTGTAGTCCATCTCTGTCCCAGATGTCACAGCTGGCTGAGCGACTGACTGGTAATGTGCCATGCCAGTCGTGCTTTGGGGGTACAAGCTTTGAGATGAATGATCGTAGGCGTCACTTGGATCGTCTGAGGGCGACATGAGGTCGCCCGAAGGTTGATTGGTTGTTTCGAAACCCGGCGAGCCAAGATCCGAGATATCTGGCCCCTGTACTGTTTGGGTTGCTTCATCTGGCTCGTCTTGAGCAATCTCTGCTACGCTGCCTGAGTTATTACGAACCCTGGGAGGAGGATAGTAACACTCGAGGCCTTTTTCAAGGCATTCGGAGCAGCTTGGTTTCTCCCTCGAGCACTAAATGGCCATCAGCTAATGTCATCTTCAGCAAGATTAGATTTGTTTTTACTTACCTTGACTTTCCTTCTTTTGCACCCATCGCAATTCCCTCGTGTTTGCTTTGGCTTCGCTACTCGCTTTGCGGTAGATGCTGCAGTGCCATTTACCTTCGCCTTTGTATTGGCTGGTGTCGCCGCTGTTGATGCCTCTGGCTCAACCTGACTTGCTTGAGTTGTCTGGCCATTGGTAGGGGCTGTAGCAGTTGATGATGTGGGGTGTACAACCCGCAGTCGCTCTGCTCCATACTTAACGAGCATCTGTAACGATTCCTGCTGGTACTTGGGAGATTGGTTTGCAAAGATATTGAACTGCTCCTCGCTGAGGGTCTCCGGATCGACTCCATTTTGTTTGAGCAGATTTAGAGCAATTTCACGACGTCTCGCAGCCTCCCCAGGGGGGAGATTAAGGGTAGAACCTGGCGCTGAACCCGGTTGACTCGACTGTCCTGCGGATGCCTGTTCAGTACTAGGATCAGTTGAAGATCCTTCTATCGGAGCTTCTGAATTGTCGCTCGAACTCTTCCGGTCAGCACCTGATTTCCTTGAAGTACGCGGCTTCTTAGCTTTGGGGTTAGTCTTAGCTGGTGTCGAGGATGGTAAATCCTCAGATGCAAGAGTCAGGCCAGGCACGAGGTTCGTCAGTTCCAGTGGCGCCGCCGGGTCAGCGCCTGGGGCGGCTGTTGCATTACTGTCCTTCTTCTTCCTCTTGCTTGGTGTGCCTTCTGCGCTGGGATCCCCATCTGCAGCTTGACTTTTCTTCCTCTTCTTCTTCGCTGAGGTATACGCTCCCGCATCTGCCTGACGCTTTGGTACTGGGGCTGGTGGAGGTGGAGGCGCATAGTAATCCAACAACTGTGCAACAGTCCTGTGGAAAGGCGTGTGGTCATAGCGGACATTAATCGTTCTAGTTGATCTCACGAACGCAATCGTCACTGACCCTCGGCAGTCGAACGCAGGTCTAGCTAGAGGATAATTAGCAAGAAATCTGTAAGTGCGTAGCACAGAGACACTGACAAATATTCACCGGGTCTTGATCATCTTTTGCACTAGAAATCCCGACAACAGGGCGGTCCTTGATCTTAGCATTCTGTCGAACCCATGCTTGTGTTGAGTCTTTGCAGATATATGTGAAGGTCCATCCAGATGATGTTCGAGACACCTGGCGCACAGTCCACGAGCTCGGATCCGTCGTTCCTAGAACTGCGATGATATGTTTTGACACTACTTTCTGTAGAGTTGGGTTATCTTGGGGTTGGTTCATCAAGGTGTCGTTCGCTACGATATCGCGCGTCGTTTGGCCGGGGTGTAAAATGGGAAGGCCGCCGAGCGAAGGATCAAGGATCTGGCCGACTTCCGAGGTGTCGCTCTCGTTGATGTGAAATACGGCGTTCGACTGGATCTCGAAGGTGACTGTGATATGCTCTGCTTTTGTGGGAGACACCTTGGTGTTCAAGAGATCGGTCAACTGGAGCTGGAGATCCTCAACGGAGGCACATGGGTACCTCGCCGCTGCTGGGTTGAGTAATGCGTCCATGGTTGCGAGGCATCGCCTACGGCATCACTCAATCCTAGGAGACGTGTCAGACGTCTCCAAAGACACCGACCGCAAACCAGGACTGGCGCAGCCCTTGTCGTATCGCCGGCGCAACAGGCTGAATCCCAGGTGAGGTCGTGATCTCGGAGGCGCGACGGGGTGTGATCGCGGAGTAATATTGGTGGCTGTTTGGGTGTGGCTGAGAAACCTTAATTGAGCGGAGGTTGGAGTTAGAGGGGCCATTAGGCTTAAGCGTGCTGTAAATACAGGTGCGCTTGAAACCTCCTACCTCATGCGCATGGTTAGCTCACAGCTCAACCCAAACGAGATAACTTGGTACAATTGCCTGGAATCAAGCAAACAACTATTTGTTTACATCAGCAATACAGAGCTCTTGCAAGCAGGTTCTAAACAGTTACACTGGTCGCAGCTTCTTCGGCTGCACCCTACAACGCCTGCCCCATTCCTTCCTGTCCTAGGTATAGGTCTTCATCTGACATGCCTCATTTGATAACTGAACAACCAAACTAAGAATTCTCCTCGACCCACTGAGCAACCCTGTCTAGGAGATCGGCCTTTTTCCCGGCTGTTGAGAGATCCTTGCTTGTTAATACCTCCTTCAAATCATTGACTGTCATCTTCTTGAGAGTATCCTGTTCAACTGCTAGCTTCAGCTGAGCCAGAGTCATACCGCCTGACGGTTTCTTCGCCGTGCTAGCAGTTTTGGCTTTCTTCACAGGTCGCTCGTCTGCATCGTCATCTGCCTCCCTCTTGAATGACAACTCTTTCTTCAGAGTCTCCGCCTCCTTTTTGATGCTTTCGGCCCATTCTACTTGATATCCGCCAACTCTCTTGTTGATAGTTTTGTACCGAGGCAGGGTCCCATCCTCCGGCTCTTCTGGGATCTCTTCCTCCAATGCAAGAGTTTGCAGGATCTTGTAATGCCACTGGAGTGCCGGGTTCGGGTACTTGGATGGGTTGTAGATGGCTTTCGGAAGCTGTAGGTTTTGTACAATGACTCTAGTCTGATCAACCAAGTCATTCGAGGCTCTGTGTACCTCTTTGCCCTTGAGGGGCTCCAGATCTCTGAGGTCGTCTGCAAACGGCAGAGGGTAGCACCAAAGTCCAGCTGGAAGGAATGGCGTCCCTGATGACTCGTCCGACTGGGATTTGGACGGGAGAATTGCGACTAAGAGTGGTGTCGCATTGGATCGTGGAACGTACCAGGCAAGTGCCATCTTGTTACTGCTGAGCAGTTTCTGCCACAGAGCGGAGAAGACACGAGTCGAGCCAACGTAGCCTCCCTCACTAGGGAAGATGAATACTGACGGCTTGACGGACGCCCATGAGGGCAGCATAGATCTAGGCTTGAAGCCGATGATGCGCAGGCCCTTCTCACCAAATTTTCTGACCTCCTTCAGCTCCTCAGGAGTGAAATACACATACTCGCCGCCGAATTTGTAGGCTTTCTTAATTTCGGACTTCTGGACTGTTCTCTCGTCGTTGTCGAGTTTTGTGGTCTCGCCTGTGGCAACTTGGGCCTTGTCGCTATCTCCAAGCCAGATATAGGAGGTTCGAGTAATAGTTTGGCGGTGTACAACAATGTAGCCATTGATTGAAACCGTTAGGCCAGGTGCGATTTCGAATGGGATCCTGGAGAAATATGCTCTTTTCGGTGTCTGCTTGGAGTTGATATTGGAGATAAGAGACGATAGAAGAGTCAACCCATCGCCTGACTTGGACGCCTTGACCTCATCCGCAGAGCCGAAGTCTGAAGTCGGATCGCGGTAAATGATATCCTGAATGTGTTAACTGATATTATGGTAACGCAAATTAAAGAGAGCACTCACGGTATAGAATTTCTCTAAATTGAACTTCTTGCCATCTTGACTGATAGGGAATAGCTCAATAGTCACACCAAGATCAAACAGATCTTTAGCACGAACAGCCGCAGATGAACGAGCAGCCTTATCGCCAGCATGAGGATCATCATTATCAGTGATGATGAACAATCTCCGAGATCCGAAATTTGCTGCATTGGTTGTAAAGATCTGGTTGGCACAGAACAACACATTCGCCATGGAGACACCATCTTTCGCAGATGCAGGTGTAAGTATCTCATTCGGATCTTCTCCTTCCTCAGCCATAACCTTGATGACCTTGACGTCTTCAGCTGAAGGCACATCGAGTTCGGTGAGTAAGTAGCAGTGCGGATAACCCGATCCGCCGTTCCTCTCTTCCCGAAACTTGGACTTCTCAGTCCCAAAGAGCAAGATGCCCATCATGTCCTTGGGTTGGGCGATGATGCGTTGCTGCATCAGCTGATAAGCGCTCTTCAAGGCAGCGGTCATAGCGCTGTCTTTGTCGGCCTTCTTGGACTCTGCAGCAGGCGGAGGCTTCAGCATCGATGCGCTCACATCAATTGCGAACAGAACCGCATCCTTTTGCGACTTGTAATCCTAAAATGATGTCAGCCATGAATTATTGGTGGGTATGAAGGTAATACCTACTGTCTCATCCAACTCCTCTTCACCTTCGTCCTCGCGCGCCTGGCGGTCATCATCTTCGCGGTCTGCCATATTTCTCGGCTTCTGATCTCCAAATCTGGCTCCAATATCTGGAAGATCCTCAGAATTATCCAAGGCGCGCTCCGCCGTTTAAGTTTCAGCCGAGCCGCTCCAGGCAAACGCGCGACTTCCTCGCTCGTATGTCCGGGCTATTCAGGCAGTCGCGCGGGCACGTGATCTGGTGGTAAACGTCTCGCTTATGATTGGGCTGTGCCCCACTAAACAGGGGCGAGGAACTGGTGCGGGTCCTAGCTGCGGCCCTGATATGCATGCATGCATCATCAATTGATGGCAAAAAAGCCGAGAGTTGTTTCGAAACTTTGCGCCCTCGGCGTTCTCGAATATCGCCGTCGGTTCCGCAGTTCAGTCATTCTGCATGAGTTTATCTAACAAAGAAGACCCAAATATCCTTGTTTGAATCTCTTTGACCCTTCTCCCTCAAATTCCAGTGGCATTGAGCGCCATCTATGGCTTTGCGACAGTCAGCCGGTCGGCTGTCAAAAAGCATCTCCGGAGCCGCAAACGCCGCTTCAGCAAAGCCTTCGGTGGCATCATCTCTGCTTCTTCCCAGGAGTGCAGACTTTCAGTCACGATCTTTTGCAGTGGCTCATGCACCGCCCGTCACCCAAGATGCTACCGGGTCCAAAGGCCCAACTGCAATGGTCTTCCTCAACATGGGAGGGCCGTCAACCGTAAATGAGGTCGGGGATTTCCTAAGCCGTCTGTTCGCCGACGGCGACCTCATCCCGCTAGGGCGCTTACAGAATTATATTGGCCCAATCATTGCAAATCGGCGGACACCAAAGATTCAGAAGCAGTATGCCGAAATTGGCGGTGGTTCGCCGATTCGGAAGTGGTCGGAGTATCAGAATGCGGAGATGTGCAAGCTGCTAGATAAGTTGTCTCCCGAGACAGCACCGCATAAGCCCTACGTCGCATTCAGATATGCCGATCCATTGACTGAGGAGATGTACAACAAGCTGTTAGAAGACGGCTTTGGCAACGGAAAGGGTGGACGGGCTGTCGCATTTACGCAGTATCCCCAGTACTCCTGCTCAACGACGGGTAGCAGTATCAACGAGTTGTGGAAGTGGCGGCAAAGGCTCGAAGGGAAACGTGGGAACCCAACGAATCCACCCACCGACGGCTCGATTCAGTGGAGTGTGATAGACCGTTGGCCAGTTCACCCCGGACTCGTCGAGGCTTTCGCCCAGAACATTGAACAGAAGCTGCTCGAGTATCCCGAGGAGCGCCGCAAAGATGTCGTTCTGCTGTTCTCAGCGCACAGTCTGCCAATGACCGTCGTAAACAGGGGCGATCCATATCCTGCCGAGGTCGCGGCCACAGTGTACGCCGTGAACCAGCGTCTCGGCTTCGTCAATCCCTACAGGCTGGTGTGGCAGTCCCAGGTCGGGCCTCAGCCTTGGCTTGGTCCTCAGACAGCGACAACTGTTGAGGATTACATCGCCAAGGGGCAGAAAGATCTAATCTTGATACCCATTGCATTCACTTCAGACCACATTGAAACACTTTACGAGCTCGATAACGAGGTTATTGGCGATTCTGGCCATGCCGATACCGTCAAGCGAGCGGAAAGTTTGAACGGCAGCCCGGTCTTCATCAAGGCTCTTGCAGATATCGCCAAAGCTCACTTAGACAGTGGGATCAAGACGTCCGTCCAGATGGGGCTTCGCTGTCCCGGCTGCAAGAGTGAACGATGCCTCGAGTCCAAAAAGTTCTTTGCAGGTGCCGAACGCGTTCCGGCCTAATCACTTCACTTGAAACGACTTAATCATTTGTATTATATGTGAGGACATATGTAAAAGTGTAAATAGTGTCGCTTTTTAGAGCGGCTCAAAAGGTCACGAGGCGTCTGATGGTGGGATCAAGGATTTACAAGGGTTTTGCAGATTAGACAATCCTCTCAGTTCTCACACCACACCCCCTGCGATCCTCCGTGAACCTATATCCCCCGTGTTCATGCCTATCTTGGCGCAGGCTAGCTACGTCAGTGATGCATGAGGCGCGATCTAGCAAGACATGGTGTATTCCGGTCAATATATACGGGAGAACCGAAGACTCACCGGAGTGCCCATGGGTGATGAACTCCCGCACCCCACACGGACCCTCCCGAAGAATCGGTGCCTCTCCATCGGCGCCGACCCGGCCAGACACGCTCGACACGGTTCCGATACGGGGTAGCTTACATCTTAGACTCTTGGGATCGACGACAAGGACGAGGGGTAGCACTTCAGGGCCTTTGGAAAGATAAGTAAAAGCAGGGATTGTGCACCGATGTCGCTGGGACGGCGACCATCAGGGCTCTCGATACGATTTCCTGACTGGAGACGAGGCGGTAGCTAGGAATGGTAAACGAGCTGAGCTCATTGGACATGCATTCACCATTCGATCAGCAAGGTAAGTTTTACTCAAGCTTTTGGCACATAGTGAAGCGAGACTCGTAGATCAGCCTGGCCGAGGACATGACCAAGAGCCAGCGCATCTCGCTCTTAATAAAATTCTAACCATCATATGGAACTCGAAATAACAACAATTGGTAGCTCATTTACTCCCGACAGTGACTGCCACGTGGGTAAGAGAGGTTCAGTCTACTCGACGACCTAAAGCAAGTCTACAACGCTAGGCCACTAGCAATTCTCTTGCTCACTACGGTAAATCTACACGATACGAAGCGCACCATGCTGGCCTGCAATTCCACTGGAGCAAATGTTCCAGAGCTGCCCTCTCACCGTGCCACCGCGGGGATATGCCTGGGAGCCGAACTCCGAATGGCGCACGCTCTTAGGACTGGCTTAGAAATCGGAACAGCCACACCACTCCACACCACACCTTTTGTCCCCTCACATAGACCCCAAACAGGTCTTTTGAAACGCTGCGTCATCGATCGCTGTGATACGCGCACTTGATATGCATTGCTGCGTAGTAGACACGCCAATGATGCAGCGTCCTGATATCATAGGAGGATCAGTGAGGTACCCAGGGTAGAGGACGACGACCACGTAGGATATTCAGCGAGCTACCCAGTTAGGCAGACAAGCGCCGACGTTGCAAAGTGAAGTGTCAGCGAGATTGCAACGCCAGGTGACTTGCCGTGGAACAGCGCGGATAGAGTTATTACATAGTAGGTACCTAAGGTAGGTAGCGAAACGTGTTGTCCGCCCATGCCAATCCTCCCTTGTCAGACGGGAAGAGTAAGACAAAACAACATCCTTCGGGATAGCATAGTGATGAGCATAGCATACAGACAAGTCAGCGCGGGAGGGACAGGGGCAGGGGCTTTGCGATTTCACTGTTCCATTGCTGGGATGCGGGTCATGGACCACTGCCACACGCACGCACTTTGGTCCAGTAAGGCGACTACTTTGGTCGTCCGACCTTCCGCTTTGATGAGACTAAGGAAGGGGGATCTTTTTGGGGGGCATTCGAGTGTGAAGCTTTGGCTGGACTTCTGAGACCAGATAGCTGGGAATCTCCACAAAATCCATGCTCCAGCTCCAGCCCTTCCGTCTTGTCTTATCAGATAGCTACTGTACTGTAGCTAGCCCGGTTGTCTCTTTTTGTATTCCTCCCCTTAGGTTCTGCCCGTCTGTCTGTCCCTGATCTGGTCTACTTACTCATGTACACGTAACTACCTCCCAGCACACACTCTCTCTCTCGACTCTCAACGTGAGTCCCCCAGGTCCTGCCAGTCCTCGCCCTTCCTTCCCTCTTTTTCATTTCCCCTTTTCATTGCCATCAGCGTCGTGTGCCTTACGTTTTCCCTACACCACGATACATAACACTTACGTACGCTGCCGTTTGGGAATGGAGGGGCCGTCTGTCGACATTCAGACAACATCCCGCATCTGCACGCAATAGTCGACAGCTATTAGCATAACCCCCAAACCCCGCCAGACAACCCGGATTTAGTCGTCGCGTGGCTGAGGACCTTGGACTTTTCTTGACCTCCGTCTTCGAAAGATTGAGTGCGCAACCTCGACTGGGCAGTGTATGCGCCGTCATCTGTCGACTATTTAGCCGCCCGGCGTGACAGCTTGGCGAAGGCACGACGGCCAACATGGCAGGCGAACCTGTGCGCCGCTCCGGCAGCACGGACATCCGCAGCAACTACTCGCTTGACACGCGCGGCGACGACGAAGATCTCGACGTGCGCGATGCGACGGAGACGACCGGATTGCTAGGCGCTGGCGCCGAGAGTGGTCACGGGGCCCCGGAGGTGGAAGGTGATAGCCTCCCGCGGAAGGACAGCTGGGAGGGCTCCGCGGATTTTGACGGCCTCCCGTGGTGGCGGCGGCCATCTGTACGTCCTCCCGGCCGTTGAGAACCCAAGATTTCGAGAACTCTGTGCTGACCCAGGCTGTTGAAAAGATCTACTGGCTTGTGGGCCCATATGCGCTCTTCACTTTGGCGTATGGAGGCTCCCTCGTCCCGAAACTTAATCTGTGCGTTATCAAGACCTGTCGATGGCCATGTCTTCAGAACTGACATCGCTCCTGCAGAATTATTGACCTCATCTGCAAGAAGTATTTCAGAGAGCAGGCATCTGTTGATCCCAACTTCACCTTCTTGCCGGTCATTGTAGGAGGTGACAACCCACAATGTACCATTCCAGCTGTGCAAAAGCACGTTGCAACCTTCATGCTAGGCATCAGTGTCATCGTTGGCATCCTGAGCGCATTTACCGCTCCGAAGCTGGGCGCTCTCTCGGATCGCTATGGCAGAAAACGCCTGCTTGCCCTAACATCATTCGGCGGTCTCATAGGCGAGGGCGTAATGATCCTGGCTGGCATGTTCCCAGAAGTCATCGACTACAGGTGGCTTATAGTCGGAGCCATCTTCGACGGCCTGTCGGGCTCCTTCACGGCGGGAAGCGTGCTAGGACACTCATATACCAGCGACTGCACGCCTCCTTCCAAGCGCGGCGTGGCTATCGGCTATCTGCACTCGTGCCTGTTCTCAGGTCTTGCATTCGGCCCACTCCTCGCTGGCTACTTCGTCAAGTGGACGGGCTCGCTGTTGTCTATTTTCTACGTAACGTTCGCGTGCCACGCCATCTTCATCCTGTTCATCCTCTTCGTATTGCCAGAATCGCTGTCCAAGAAGCGGCAGCTTCTGGCCCGCGAGAAGCATGCCTTGAAGCAAGACAGGAAGGACCAGAACATGCAGGAGTGGGCTTCATCCATCGAAACCTCCGTCCCTGGACCATTGCAGAAGATCGCACCCGAAATTACGAAGCTTTTCGCAACTATTCGGCATTCGCATCCGTTCGAGCCCCTGAAGATCCTCTTCCCCAAAGGACCAGGAGCCGGTCCTGTCCGCCGAAACTTGTGCCTTCTGGCGCTCATCGATATGATTATTCTCGGCGCGGCCATGAGCTCAGGACAGGTGACACTGCTGTACACTGAGTTCATGTTCCACTGGGGCAATTTCGAGACGTCCGCCTTCATGTCCTTGATCTCCATGGTGCGCGTTTTCGTTCTCATGGGCATCCTACCCATCCTCAACTACTTCTTCCGGGTCCGACCTCAGGCTCGCCGGCGCCGGGAATCCGGTTTCATCGTCGAGAAGAACGCAGGAGCCGACCAGCTCGACTGCTGGGTGCTTCGCGTCGCCATCGTGTCCGACGTCGTCGGAATCTGCGGCTACACCCTTGCGCGGAGTCCTCCTGTCTTTGTTCTCTGCGGTATTGTAACGGCCTTTGGAGGACTGGGCTCAGCGACAATTCAGGCCGCTCTGTCCAAGCACGTCTCCTCCGAACGAGTTGGCGAGCTGCTCGGCGCTATCGGACTGCTGCATGCGCTGTCTAGAATTATAGCGCCTGTCATATTCAACGGACTCTATGCAGCAACAGTGGAGAGCTTTCCGCAGGCGATCTTCGTTTTGATGACTGCGTTGTTCGTCGTTGTTCTTGTACTGTCGATGTTCATCAGACCTCATTGTGAGTTTCAACGACGCTCTAAGCAAATCAATAAAGTATGTGTTGCTAAGCCCTTTTTGCAGTATATCTAGCAGAGACAGAGGAGGGACCCATCCCTGTTCGAAGGGCCGTATCGCGTCACCAGAGTGAGGAGTCCGTTCTTACCGAAGAGGAAGTCGTCCCGCGGATTTAGGGACAACATGCGACTCGCATGTTATTGTGCCATCATTTCCTTTTTACCTATCATTTGAAGACATTTCGATCTGTCCCTTACAATATGATATGGACAATAGAACACTATAGATTATCAGATCATCACTGGGGGTCGCTCATAGGGGATACGGCGCAGGTGGTCTCGTCTCGTTTGTTGCTATATACAGCCTTCCCAAAGCCAACACCTGGACTTTCGATACCATCTTCATATTAGACACAAACCTTGTCCCTCGAGCGACGTTTTCCTTGTCGCAGAGCATGTTGGATAGCATGGGCAAAGTACTTAATTGATATGATCTTATGACACCTTCACCTTCCTTTGAGCCCAACGCTTGATAGTTCTCAATATGACTCTTCGTAGTTCACGCCGCTGATCACGATACAAGCTTCAAGAAAAGCATCATGCCTCAAGCAAACTATCGAAATTTGACTGCTACCTGCCTAGGTAGTAGGAATGATGCATCGCGAATGACGACATCCCGGTACAGGCAACCTCCCCATATTTAGGTGTGTGCTTCTAGCGATGGTAGTGGGTATCGGCGCCGTCATGACCACAGCCCGCCCCACTGATGCGACCCATCTAGCGAGCCGAACCTCCTGCAGCCCGCTTACTGCCTTTAGGCTAAGCGATCTTCAACTACCTGCTTAACGTACTACCAATGTTGAACCGAAGCGACGTATATATCAGGAGGGTCGACAGGTACTGAAGAAGTTGGGTTGTTACGCAGGCAAAGGTATGTTTGTGTTCAGCCTTAGCTTGTAAAGCGCCTCGAGGAGGTCGTATCAATTGCCATGAATTGGGCTAACTACTTCAATAGATACAAGCAAGGGCAAACAATACCTGAGCGAGAAACCACAATCTCATCCATACTGAAGAGTAAGAGAGATATAGCATCCCTCAAGGAGAGATGCTCGCGCAGAGGATACACCTGCCAAGAACATTCCCAGTCTCACCTCACCTCCTGTCTCGGAGAGCAGTCTTCCTCAGCAGCCACACATTCAGGGCATCGTCATCGTCATCGTCATCCAGGATGGCCACCCCTGACGCCGCCATCACCGCAGCGGCCGGGGCGACAGAGCAGATCCACTTCGGGCCCTTCGAGGTGACGTCCCAGGTCTTCCTCAAGACGCGGCACTCCTTCGCCCTCGTCAACCTCAAGCCCCTGCTGCCGGGCCACGTGCTCGTCTGCCCGCTCGCGCCGCACCGCCGCCTGACCGACCTCTCGCCCGCGGAGCTGACGGACCTCTTCACCGCCGTGCAGCGCGTCCAGCGCATGCTGGCGCGGCACTACTTCGAGAAGCCCTCGCCGTCGTCCGCCGCGCACTCCTCCTCCTCCTCGCGGCAGGGCGGCGCCGCGGCACCGGCACCGGCACAGGCACAGGCACAGGCACAGGCACCCCCCGCGCCGGAGGCGGGCTCCTTCAACATCGCCATCCAGGACGGGGCCGAGGCCGGCCAGACCGTCGCCCACGTGCACGTGCACGTCATCCCGCGGATCAGAGGCACCACGGCCAAGCCGCCGGACCAGCCGACGGACGTGCTGTACGAGCAGATGGCGGAGGAGGCGGGGAATGTTGGCGGCGCGCTCTGGGACGCCGCGCTGGCGGAGGCGGAGGGCACGGCGGCGCGATTAAGGGGCGAGGGCCGGCCGGTGCCGGGAGGGCACTTCCCGCGCATAGAGGACTGCGACAGGGAGGCTAGGACGAAGGAGGAGATGGAGGCGGAGGCGGCGGTGTTTCAGGGGGTGCTCGAGCAGATGGAGAAGGAGGGTCAGTGAGAGGCTCTCGACGGTGTTGGTGTAGAAACTTGTCTTGTCACGATAACTTGTAAAGCATTCTTGCGGGCACGCTAGAGTACGCATCCGTTGGACTAATTACCACATATATACTCCTATCCTGGAGGTAAAGATAGCCATCCATCAGAAATTCATTGCCTACCCTTACTATAAAAAATTCTGTCGCAACCCAGTTCCTCGGTTGCTGTATCGTCGACAGCATGCGCCGTTCCCTATAACCCAGTAGGCCCGTCTTAACGCCTGGGCCTTTGTCCCTCCATTTGCCCCTTACATTTTCCAATCCAAAAGTCATCCGTAAAAAGGTATCTAATATCTAGTACATACATAGCAAGTCCCTAGTCCAGTCCCGGGATGCGATCCAGGTTGCTCATCGAGTTATTGAAATCAAACGTCGTGTCAACATCGTTAGTCGGCAAGCCCTTGAACATGAACATGCTTTGAGTGTCATTCATTCCGCTGGGATTGCCCCAGCCTTCGAAATTCTGCTGCCAATTGGCACCATCTTTTAGGAACCAGTCCTGCCCATCCATCGCATAAAGAGAACTTGGTGTGACTTGGCGAGTAGCTGATCGAGAGGTGGATGCTGATGGCATAGTAGTCTGGACAGGCGCGTACGACTGGTGATAGCGTGGCATGGGTTGCGAGACAGAAGGCATTGTCCAATTACTCATATTCGCATATGGATCCCCAAGACGAATGTTAGGACCGGCCATGCCCTGAGTTGTTGGATTTGATGTTTGGGTCTGCACGTTCGCGGGTGGCGCCATGGTGCCCATGCCGCTTAAGAAATCAGGTGATAAAGAGCCCGTTGACATTTCTTGTATTTGAGGAGGAGTCGGCTGGTTATTGTAGTTGGCCGGGCTATATTGCTCCTGCTTTGTGGTTGTTTGTGGTGAGGTTGGATAGGTCGGCGGCGATGTAGATGTAATTGACCTGTGCGGAGATGGCACATCGGATGTATTGAAGTAGCCGTACTTCTCATCCGTTCTTTGCAGAATCATAGCAGCTTCTTCAGGCATTTCGACATTCCATTTCCTTGCCAGCACACTGAGAATGCTCAGTGTCCGGCGGCCGCACAACCAGTCTTCGGCAATCTCCTCAAGGTGCTTGATACCATGTATGATGTCTCTCTTCGCAGTTTTCTCGGGGAGATTCAGCATATGGATGGTGCAGGCAGAATGGACCATATACACCGCTATGTTACAAATCTGTCGTAAGTTATAAGTCTTCTTGTAGAGACGCATTAGCTTGGAGATGTAGCCAGCATTTGCGGTACAAATTCGGCGAGGCGAGACATGAGCTGGCAGAGGCGATGCGGAGGGGCTGTATTTCAGGAATGGGCGGAAAAGGTGGATGTATTGGAGATGAAAGAACATGCTAAAGGAATTCGTTAGCGAAGCTGTCTGGGCTGCCAGTGGGTAAACACGTACTGCACGAGGATCACATTCGGTAATTGTCCCTCCTTAGGTTCAAGTTCCTTCGGTAACTCCTTGCGCCAGTCTTCTAGCCGTCTGTGTAACTCGCTCAGCTTCTTGAGCTCAACAGACTTGCCGCTTGACCTTCCAATGTGATTTGGGTGGTAAAAGAATAGCAAGAGATCGCTGCTAATCTCGCAGAGTTTGGATAGTTGTAAGCCTACCGCTCGGGTTCGTGCAGGCTGCTTCGATGATTGATCGAATCCACCATCAGTATACGGCGACCAGAGCTCAGCATCCTCATCCGGAAATACATCGTATTTAGGAACGTTGTATGAGTTCTTGGGCAGCTGCGGTAACCGGCCGAGGTAATTCGACCAGCACTTGTCAAACAAGAAACAACCCCACCAGGTAACTCTCCTCGCATCGATTTCCCCGTCATCCATCTGCTCCTTGTCCGCTGTGATGACATCGGTGTTGAGGTTGAGACCAATATCTTGCGCCATCCGGAAACTCATGCCACTGTACACCCAGCCCTTCGCCTCCCGAGCGCATCCGGCTTCACGAACAGACATTAGAGCAAGGGCTTGAACAGTGACTAATCGGGGCTTCTCATATTCATCATTGTCGACGATGAGCCTTTTTGCCTCTGCGAAGAAATGGTCCCCCTTGGTACGACTGTCTCCTGGGACCGCGAAAGCCCCAGAGACGCTGGTGAAATGGCAACCCAATGCAAGCATCGCGTTGACTAGCAACGATGAACAGTACACAGGCGTTCTCGGTTGGCTCCTTGGCTTTCCTTTAAAGAAATCGCGGTAAAAGAGCTTTTTGGAGAGCGTCGTGAAATAGGTGTAGTGCCAGTCGAAATACATATTCATCAAGTGAATGATCAAAGGCTTGTCTTTGGTGACAGTGGTCCAACTCGTAATGGGGTCTTCGTTCAAGGCCAGACTATCTGATTCTGGTTCAGCAGGGGCGCCAGTTGGGTCACCAAGATAGATCAAATGCGACGTCCCGCCAATGAAGCGTATGGAGCCATTCTCTAGCCGCAACTCGCCCATCTTGCGCGCGAGCTCTCTCTCGCCTTCAAAAGGCTGGTCTGTCGTGTACTCCTCTTCCTCTTGATTGTCGAGCTCATTCTCCTCGGTAGCGAAGTCCTCCTTGAGGATCGACTCAGCGACGATATCCAGACTGTCGCAAGTGCGAATCCTCTTGACGATATCAGGGACGTCTTCCTCGGACGCATTCAATATGGCCTCGATGAGAATCTGCAGGGTCGAGCTCCGGGCCTTCATGCTATCTATCTTCTCCCGATAGACACCCTTGCGCCGGTGATCCGAGTTTGGATCGTAGATGCATTCTGTGCCATACACGCTCGCGCAAGCAGCGCAGCTGGGCAGGGCGCCGTCACACTTGGACTTTCTCTTCCGGCAGGCGATGCACGCTGTGCTGACGCATCTCCGCTTCTGGTTCGCGGGGTCGGCGCCCCGCCGTGACTTCTTCCTGTTCGCCGGCGGCGCACTGCTGCTGGCTGCGGCGTTCAGAGCCTCCATCGCCCCCGGCGGAATGAGGCTGGGCTGGTTCTGACCGTTCATGGCGACAGGCAGGACGAGTAACGCGTAGAGGTGCGCCAAAGTCTCGGACCCCTCAAGGCGCCGGCGCGGGCGGGATGCAGATTTTTGGAGCAGCTGACCGCTGACAATTACTTGGAGAACTGCAGCAGCAAGGCTGACCCACTCTTCACTTAGAGAGGTGAGTAGATATATCGCTCCTCAGATTTCCACGGCGTGGCAAGGTTGGAAATCGATATATAAATGGTACAGTAAACGGAGCTCGTCCAATGCAACCTTGGAACTCTGAAGAAGAGATAAGGGATAAAGAGCGCTTGGGGACGGACGGTCGCGAGAGGGCCTGCCTTAGAGTGCTTTCTAGGCGTGGGGTAGAGCCTGAAGAGTCGAGACAGCTAAGTTATGGCGCCACTTCACGCGGGCTGGAAGGAGACATGATGGTCCAAGTCGCAATGCGCAGGTGAAGTCTAACCGCGAACAATAGATACCCAAAAAAACAAAAGATCTCAAAAGGTGTTGGAGAGGATGAAGATTGGGCGAGGCAGAGCGACGACGAGATACTGCGCTGGGCAGCTGTACCTAGTCGACTCAAGGCTGCCGTTTAATGCGTCCGAATGATGAGATTGCTAGACTAGGTGCTTTTTCTCCGTCCCGGGGGCGCGACGTCGGATAGCAGTGGCGGCAAAAGCACCCGTAACCTTAGCTTTTAGGTGGTACAGGTTCGGCTACCGGCGACCAAGCTCGTCGAAAGTGCGTCCGGGGAATCGAAGTTGGGTGACGACACCTCGGTTCCGCTGGCTCAAGATGGTTCTGTCACTCATCAAAGCTGATAGAGGGGTTTCATCTACATGTAGCTGGAAAGTAGATAAGGGGGCTCTTGGGGCAGGGCTTAGCAGGTCGTACAAGATAAGGGGCCGTAGAGAGGGATTCCCCAATGACGGGCGGATCCAAGCGCACCTCGAGGAGTGCGAATAGTTACGAACAGCCGGACCTTGCCTTAGAAGCTAGAGGGTGGGGTCGGCCAAGATAATTGCAAATAGAGTATCATCACGTGCGAGTCTCTTGCTAGAATGGCCCTCTCGGTGTATCTCAAGTGTCTGAGACATAGTGAATCTCGGCGGGGTCCGCTGTAAGTGTGCTGCAGGAGATCGGCAGTGCCTTTTAGTTCCAGCTAATCCAATGCTCCCCTTTTGCGATAAGAAAGCCATATTGCTTTTTACCCTACCTCTTATTGGGCTTAAGAGAGACGCAATCATGACACTGCGGGGAGTGGAGAGCCACGGCTCCTTCGCCTAGGGAGGAGGGACCTTATGCTTAATCATGGCCTCTACGGTCGCTCACTCGAAAGTGGAGAGAGTGGGGAGTTGAGGCAACTTCCTACCTCTACTCTCTTCAAGAAGTTCTCCTATGTATTTGGATGGATAGCTACACTTCTTTGAAATCCGCATTTTGCTCTTGTGATGTGCACATTTACAAGGTACACTTTTTATTAACCTATGTAGCCGTACATGCTATAACCGACCGGATATCTTTATGATGCTGCATACTCAAACGCCAACAGATCTAACTATGACCCTCTCATGGACTTCATCGTGATATATGTCTCCCAACGTGTTTAATCAACATCTTCAAGACGCTCAAAAAGACTTCACCGTCAATCCACCAACGTATGCCTCAAAAGGACCGCGATGACCAATATTAACCGCCAGACGCAAACGGGCTATTCTTGCGAAGCTTCTCTCCATACTTCCACAACAATATCGGCCCCGGCCACCCAATCACAATGGCAATGAACGCCAGCAGCGTGTTCCCCCAGCCGTAGTCCAGCCGCTGGTACAGCGAAGGCCCAAACAGCGGGAACCCGAAGCCCGCCAGACTCCTCAGCACCGTGCCCGCGCCGACCGCGCTCGCGGCGTAGCGCGTGTATGTGTCAACCAGGAAGCCCTGGATGCACTGGAACCCGGCGATGACGCCCATGCAGAAGATGGCGACGCCAATGTCCGGGCCGATCCAGTGCGTCCGGTGCTGCGCCGTCCAGCCGTAGATCAGCAGGCCCGTCGGCACAAGGATCGCGCCCGGGACCATCATCGGCACGCGGAACTCCGGGCGTCCCACCGAGACGTTGTAGTAGCGCTTGAGATAGGCGTAGATGCGGTCCTGCAGCGGAGCACTAATCTGGGCGCCGAGGAAGAATCCGGCGCCCAGAGCAATGTAGTGCAAGCCTGTCTCGCCAGTTGACATACCGTAGGAGTGCCACAATGCAGGAAATGTCGACAGAACGAGGTACATGAGTCCATAGAGATACATCATGTACAATGCCAAGATTTGAACGATGATCTGTGTACCAAGTAGTCGGAAAGGGCGCATGAGCGCCGTTGTAAGCGTGTTCAAGACTGTCTTGTCCGGATCGTCAAAGTCCGTGTGTAGGTCTGTGTTGCCGGTTTCCTTGATCAGCTTGAGTTTTCGCCTCTGTAGCAACACTGGCGTGTAAGTCTCCCGCAGGTAGAAGACACCCAGTCCCTGAACGATTGCACACGCTATAGTGGTAGAGTAAAAGATCCATCGCCAGGACGTCTCCTGGCTGATATAAGCACCCGCAATGGGACCAATCGCTGGTCCCAGCAAAGGGGCTAAGCTGTAAAGACTTAGAGCTCGTCCACGCTGCTCTGCACTGAAAAGATCAGATAGAACGCCTCCACCAATTGCAACTATAGTTACAATGTCAGCATTTGTCATTACCATTATATTTTGTTGAAGAGGCTATCAGATGTGTATATTGTACTTACGTGGTGCGGATCCACCATAACCGGCGAGAAATCTGAAAGCGATGAGTTGCTCCTTCGTCTTTGCCAGACCACAGCCGAGATTAAAGAAGAGGTAGAAGAGATTAGAGAGTTGCAGGACGATCGTGCGTCCGTACAGCTCACTCATCGGACCGAGGAAGAGAGGGCCTTTATATCGATGACGGTAAGCAAAACATCGCAGCAATTTTTGGAGCTTTGTCTCATGACGTACCTATAGCATAAGCTGGAGTTATGTTAGCTGAAATCCACGATATTACAAGATCACATAGAAACTCACCTAGCACAAAAATAGACAGGGACAGCGCCTTCTCAAAACTGCTCGTGATGTTCAACTCGGCTCCAATCTTATCCAAAGCCGGAGCAGTCATTGACGAAGACACAGGAGAGAAGAGAGTAAAGCATGACACTGGGAGCAGACTTAGTCACTGTTGATAGAGATCGTCTACCGCTACAGATGGACTTACCGATGAGCACAGCCGCCCACTTCTTCTTGAACGTCCAAGTCTTTGGATTCTCAGGATCATACGGGTATGCCCATGTGACCAGATTCGGATCTCTATCGCTGGGCTGTGTGGGCTCCTTCTCCAGCGCGTCGCCCAGCTCGGCATCTCTTAGGCTCTGGATACCATCTCGGACCTCTGATATGCTCCTGGTCATGCGCTGCCGCGGACGCTCTCTTTCCCGTACCCTCTCCTCGTCCTCCTCGAACTCGATGCTCGCGTCCTCACTACTGCTGTCATCGTGTGCAGTCTCGGTAGACTTCCTCGACAAACTTTTGTCGTCGTCCAGTATCTCCCTAGACTTCTCAGAGTAACTCTCCAGAGGCTGTAAGGCGGGGGGCACAGGCAAGGTCTCCGGCTCAGGGCCCGAGCCCAGCGAACGGTGATGTTCTGGGGACGCTGGTCTCTTCTCGTCTGTCATAACTTAACCTGATCTGAGATGGGAATACTATCCCGACAACCGACAATGATTGGCATGCAATGAGATCTCTCAAGATGGATTGATTGAGCAACAATCACGACAGTGAGAGTAACAATTATGATTGCAAAAAGGGAAAAGGACAAGAGCCGCAAAAGCGCAATGAAATCATCGGAACACCCGATAGCCAGAAAAAGAGAAGGAGCCGGCCGATTATAACTGCCAACCTACCTTAGGCTACCTTACCTACCGCACCTTTTCCTACTGCCACACACGCCGGCAATAAATGCCGAGCGAGTGACTACTTAGCTAGGAAGGCGATCGTGCCGTCAACGACTTTTCTGAGCGTGCCACCAGACAATTAGTTAATTAGTTGCCCTGCTGGTCTGGTACCCGACCACGGCGGCCGACCGACCGATTCTGCTTCTGTTTTGATGGACATAAAGAGTCAAAGACCACCGCATCGGCCAGCCTGAACCCGATGGCGGATCGCCCTGCAGGCTAAGCTTGTCCGCAGCAGCGACATACCGCCCCGTAGTAGCCAGAAGATGGGGTCAACATGGCGGGCAAGTGTAATCGAAAAGACACAACAGCAGCGGCGGCCATTGGCCAGGTAGATAGGTCCGTTGGGGAAGGTGTCAAAACTCGCTGCTAAAAGAGCTTGATTGTGGCCCGCCATGCCGCTTGCAGCGTTGTGGGTGGACGCTACGGAGCCGATGAGGGGGAACAAGCCCCTCTGTTCGCCGACCACGCTCCCGTGTGTGGGACCCAGGGAACCCCAACCACCACCCTAAAATCCGTCCAACTCCCGGAGTTACAACACGGATGCCGTCACCGACAGCCGGCGGGGATGCTTTGTACTGCCTTACGTAGTAAATAAAGAGTCCTTGAGAGAACCTCACATCGATCTGGTAGATGGGCTGGTCTGAGGAGACTTTGAAGTGGCAGAGAGGACTACTCCGACTCGACTTTGAATCGATTGACTCACTTCACAGGGACATGATGTTTACGTGGAATATAATCCACGCTGACAATATCACTAAGCTTCCAAGACCTTGGCTTTCTTGACTTTTTTCTCAATTGCGCAACGCAATTGGTAGCAATCCCTCGTCTATCTTATCTGAGAAGAGCAAAGCCAGTCCCATATCAGTCAATGCCGTGTCCGCCAATGTACTTTACAGATCGAGAGAATGACCATGACCCCTTATCGATGCTCGCCATCAAGAACCTCACATGCCCGGAGGGGGCAGTGGCTGGCAGCCTGTCAGACCTCTCAGGGTATCAGATGCAAAGAACGCGGTCCAAAACCACGAAGTGAATGTGAATGCATGTTTTTCGGTTTGTAATCGCTTCCATCACGACGCCTCAGCAGCGACCTCAGGCTTGGCGTCAACCTTCTTGGCGGGCCGGTCATCACCACCAGCATCCTCGTCACGAGAGCGCTTGTTGTTCGCCTCGGAGACGGGCTCTCCCTTCTCGTTAGTAGCCTGGATGGTAGGCTTGACACTGTAAGCCAAACGTTAGTAAAATATAACTCGTAATACGCCAGATATCAACGTACTCGTCATGTCTGCGATCAGACCGATCGCCATCCCGACGGTTGTCGCGGTAGTCTCGGTTGTCTCGGCCACGACCACCTCGCCCTCCGCGACCACCACGACCTCTGCCGCCACGGTTATCCCTGAAGCCGTTCTTGCGATCGTGCTCCCGGCGCGTCTTCCAATCGTCCTTGTCGAAGTTGCGGCCCTTGAAGTCGCCACGGCCACCACGGCCTCTGGTGTTGCCGGAGAGCTTGCCCTCGTAGAAGCGTGGCTTGGCCTCGCTGGGCTGGAGCTTGCCCTCCTTGATGAGCTGGGTCTTCTCATCGACGTAGGCTCGCTTGGTCATGATCTTCAACTCATGGCCCTTCCACTGGGGCGCAGGGTCCATCTCCAGGAACTTCTTGGCGTTCTCCTCGTCCTGGAACTCGACAAAGACAGAGCCCTTGAAGAAGTTCTCAGCAGTGCGTCGCAGGCGCACAGAGTTAACGGCACCGAACTTGGTGAAAAAAGCCTCAATATCGAACTGTGTAGACGGCTCCTCGTCGCCGAATCCCTTGACGTAGACAGATGCCGCCTCGGTCTTGTTGCGGGGTCTGTTGGTGTCATACGCAACCTTGCGAGTGATCTCCTCCTCTCCAGCCTCGCCAGAGATGTCCAGGAACGAGCTCTCCTTCAGTGCTTTGATGACAGCGTCGTAGGGTTGGAAGCGCTTCATGCGCTTGAAGCTGCAGATCTTCTTGACCTTGACCGGGATGTTCTGCGGCCCGCCAGTGAGGTTCCACAAGAACTCGTCCTGTCCTAGGTTGCTATCTGAGAAGTAGAACTCGACCTTTAGATTGGATTAGCAAACACTTTTGCCGCCTGAACCTCATGCACTAATCATACCTGGGCTCTAATGGCAACAGGGTCATCCGTCTCAGGCAAGACATTGGGGTCAAATTTGCTGAGGTTGGCGCGCGCGTTGCGATCAATAGTGCCAGTGGTCTTTAGCATAGGCTTGGATGTGTCCTTCTTGACCTCGGTGGCCTCGGCGCCATTCTGTTCCTCTTTCTTCTCCTCGCTCTCCTTGCTTGGCTCAGCGGTGGTGGTCTCTTCCTTGGGCGGCGCAGACTGGTCCACAGACTCGGCTGGGGCGGCGACCTCAGGCTGGACAGCCTCGGCGGTGACAGCGGCGTCGCTCATTGTCACGACGGAGAAAGTATGTATCGGGTGATTTGTAGAATGATAATTGATGCTGCTGCGGAGACGAGGCGACTGTATTGAAGTATATGGAAGATATTTCTCGTGCTGTGACTGTTCGCCGGTGAGTGACTGACGGATGAAAAAAGAAAGATGCGAAAAGCTGCGCGGGGTAGGATGAAGAGTCAGAGTTTGGCTGAGCCGAAGTCTGAGATTCAATGGTATGAGAATCGACTTACTATGAGTGCTTGATTGGTAGAAGCACAATTGGACGTTTTGTTATTGTCTAGAGAAAGATCGAAAGCCCAGCGCCAGCCTCTCAGGTTTATTTTGCTGGTGGCTATCTGCGAACAAGAAGAAAGCGCAGATCCTAGTCTCAATAGCAGGCAGGCTTGATGGAGCTACCTGTAAGTCCTGAGCCAGATAGTGGGGTCCTTTTGCTACAAAAATTTCTGCCGCAATTGGATTTTCAGTGGAAGTACTCCTCCGCCAGGGTAATATTTCCAAGGTTATTAGGTCGGCAAGAGTATTACTACCTCCTCAACAAGGGATTCCTACGTTGGTAGAAGTTGTAAAACCTTTAGTAATAAACATAATAGTTGGGATTCTTGATGAGTATTACGACTCAATATTGAGGATCTTTATCGGTCAAGACTTCATGTTTATTACCCTGGCGGAGGAGTCTCTACAGTTATAGCGGCCTCACCGCCCAGAAGACGGCCCCACAAAGATGTGGCTAGTGGTCTAGTCCTAACTCGGCGTAGAGCAGATGGACCGCGCCCGTCAGGGACCGAGCCTCACGTGTTTGGTGCTCGAAAAAATTCGGGGCCAGAAGGCCGCATGCTCGACGACCTTAGGAGAGCTTCGAATTTGGTGAACGAGAGAGGTCAAGTTGTGCCGGACCCAATTCCAGACCACCGCACAAGATGAAGTTCCGGCGGACACTGAGGTTTCATGGTCTGAAGCGGCCTGTAAGTTCAATGCATTTCATTGTCGAGATAGATCTGCTGTTCCATCTCATTCCCCTGAACTTGTCTAGTTGCACACGAGCTGACAACAGCTATAGAAAGTCCGCCAGACCTGGAACAAGTTTAACCTTTACAACCTCAGCCGCCTCAGGATTCCTTTCCTCATCTCGAAGACCTTCTTCCAGCAGAAATGGGCCGCCAAAGCGATGACGCGAGGCTACCACGGCGAGCACATCAAGGAACGCCAGTGGGAGAAGATGTTCAGCCGACGCCTGCTATCCGTCGTCAACATGAACCCACGGTACATGGCCGCACATGATGGCTCAGAGCAGGCAACCGGCCGCGGCTCAGGGCATGACAAGCCTGGCGAGGAGGACTTGGCCGAGATTGGCGTGCAGGAGGAGCAGAGAGGGCCCAGGCCCACGAATATGAGCTCGGATAGGCGCACACCGTACATGAACATGGCGTATGCGCCAATGGAGAGGCGGTTAGATATCGCCGTTTGGAGGTCTCTGTTTGCAAGCAGTGCAAGGCAGGCCCGCCAGTTCGTCGTTCACGGCGCAGTCAAGGTCAACGGTCAAGAGGTAAGCAACCATTTTGTTATCATTTGGGCCTGCAAATTGGAAGCTAACAGAAGATTCACAGATGCGATATCCAGGATACCTCCTCAACCCAGGAGACATGTTCCAGGTCGATGTCGAGCGAGTTAAACTCGCAATTGGCCAACCGAAGGGCCGGATAAGAGTTCGAGCTGGCAAAGGCGCTACCGAAGGTGAGGAGGCTGAAGAGGTCGAGGAGGCTGCATCAGAAGCAGACGCATCAGCCGAAGGCGCCGAGGCGGAAGCAACAGAAGCCGTAGCAGAGCCTGAGGTTACTCCGGAGCAGCAAGTCGCACAATTGAAGGAGCTGCTCAAGCTTGCGAAGGAGATTCTCTCCGAGGGCGGCCTCCTGCTCTCAGTGAAGCGCAAGCAGCAGCTACGAACATTCGCCAAGGATGCTCGCAGCGCCATCGCTCGTGCCGGCAAGACCCCGACCGAGAGCGATGCTACAAAGGCCACCGGTCTTGTGGACGACCTCACGGGCTTGCTTGCATCCATGGACCTCAACTCTTCCGCCAAAGGTGATGTTGCTGCTGCCGCCGAAGAAAAGAGCCAAGCTGTCAACAGCGACGTCACTCAGCTCACGGGTGACGAGAAGAGAGCCCTAGACAAGCTCCTACAGGAAGAAGCAGACAACCCCTACGACCCATCCAAGCCATACCTCACCCCCTGGCGGCCGCGCAACTACATGAGCCCCTTTGCCTTCATCCCGCGCTATCTCGAGGTCAACCAGAACATCTGCGCGGCGGTATACCTACGGCACCCGGTCGCGCGACAGGGATATGCTGAGGTGCCGACCCCGTTCCCCCAGGCCATCAATCAATTGACTTTCAACTGGTACCTCAGGAGGAGGTAAGCGCTGGTCTTCCCAGGGCCTACCAAACTATCTGTAGGCGGTTTGGTCGCTGTATGATCACGGCTCGAGTCGCATTGGATGGGACGCATAATAGCGATATAGAGGAACATATCTGTGTATATATAATACTTTAGCACAGCCGAGGCTGTGCAGCTAGATAGCTGTACACTATCAATGTATAACACCACTGACTAAATTTCCTCCGTAATATCCGTGATTGGCAGCCTTTTGCTGTAGATCATCACTTGTGTTAAGGTATCTTCGACTAGCAACATTAGGGAGCACGTAGTCTACCTATGAGCATGTTCTTTGATGGTAACCATCATTTTATTCAGACGACTAACAAGCTAAAAAGGAGTGCTAAAGAAACAAGGAAACGTTGTAGAAACGACAAGGCAGATAGACGTTGGTGAAAGAGTCGGGGGCAGGGGTATGGTAGGGAGCCGCGACATGCGGTCCCTGAATGCGAGAACCGACTCTAGAATACAAGATATCAGGCCGTCCGTCTTTCGATGAGTAGCACCATATCCTCCAAGCGCAGACCCGGCTCCTCTGGACTCCCCTTCATACAGACTGAACTCAGTGCCACAAGTTCCTATGAACATGAAGAAAGAATACGCCCCGAAGAGTTGGTCGAAGGCCGCCGGCGAAGGTGGGCAAGGTCCCCAGCAAGGAGAATTTAGTGACATTCGTCGATTATAGAAAGCCGTAATTGGAAAGTCCGTTCTGACACGGAGTAGAAAGAAGAGGAAATGCTGGGTATTCCTGTTGAGTGTAGTTCGCCAGAAAGCCATCTCCGTCCGTTCCCTCCTTGCCGATCGGTTATGTAGTTAGTTGCAGAAACGAGCGTTCAGAATGACCATGATGAGCGCAGTGGTTTGCTTTTCTCAAAACCTCAAAACCAACAAATGTATTTTGTATAAGGTGTTCAAGAACCCCCGACGAGGCCATCCATCATAGCTCACCACAACTTCTCAGGAGCCCGTCCTTTTAGATAGCTCGTTTCTTTTGCTCAACACACCCTTCCCGCCATGTGCGACCAAAGAACTTTTGTGTGTCCATCCCCACTGGACGTTTGTTTTGCGATGAGTATTAGAGTTGCCGTGATTAAAAAGGAGGAAAATGAAGACAGTATTCGAAACAATAAGCGGCGGGCTGGTATTGTATGGGCATCAAGCGTACTCAGACATGGGTCGTAGGATAGGTAGGGATGGTCGTGACTTAGCGAAGGGAGAAACCCTTGCGCTTTCCTTCCTTCTCCAATGGTCGACCGCTCTCTACGCGTGCCTTCTTCTCCTCGAGCTCTAATCGTTGGCGCTCTAGTTGCTCCTTCATCTCCCGATGACGAGCGTATAACTCTTCCTCGCTCTGCTTCAGTTTTGACTCCTTTTCGGTGACCTTCTGTTGGAAGACCATCTTCATCTCGGCTTCCATCTTGGCGAGCTTTTGCTCGTGAAGAGCGCGCTCTTCCTCTTGCTTGACGGCGGGGTTGACCTCCTTGAAGACGCTGGGGTCCTGAGAGACACCCATTTGGATGAGCTTGTCCGTTCGGTAGTTCTCGTATAGGGTGTTGTTGGTGTGCTCCTTCAGCTCCTCCATGTGTGTTCGGATGAGCATCTGGCGTAGCTTCACGAAGTCACAGTGCTCTTCGTTATCCACCTCAATGACACCCCAAGGGTAGCGACGGCCTCGGACTTTGCGACCATCGGCGTTGGTGATCTCGTTCGTAGCGCCGACAACTGCGAATGGAACCTTAGACAGGATCTCATTGTTCTCAGCAATGGTCTCCTCATCGTCAAGCTCATAACGAGGGCCTTCGAAGATCTGAACCTTGTGATGCTTAATATCGGCAAGAATTCTGTGCTTGAAGGCAGTGATCTCCTCGTCAGTGAGGGTATCGGCCTTGGCAATGACTGGGATCAGGTTGACCTTCGTGTGAAGGCGCTTCATGACCTCAATGTCAAGGGGCTTGAGGGAGTGGCCGGTAGGCTGAATGAAGAAAACGCAGGCATGGATACGGTTGTCCACGATGTTCATTCGGTTGACCTTGTTCTCGGCATCGAGGTAAGCATCGAAGCGCTGCTCAATGTTGTCGGTAATCGGTCTCCAAGACTCATCATTGTTGACGAAGTCGCCGAAGCCGGGAGTGTCAACAACGGTCAGTCTTAGGCGAACACCGGCCTCCTCAATATCTGCGCTGATGGACTGGATAGTGACAGTCTTTGGGATGATGTCGAGGCTGGGACCCTTGCGCTCCTTGGGAGGGTACAGGGAGGTGTTGAACAAGGTGTTGACGAGGGTGGACTTTCCGAGACCAGACTCGCCTAGACAGTATCTTAGCAACATTGCCCATTACCAATCATGATCATGTACTTACCGACGACCATAACGTTGAAGTTGAATCCCTTTCGGACACTCTTGCGATGCCATTGGTTGGGCAGGTTCGCAAAGCCAACATAGCCCGTCAGCTTGCGGCGGACAATGTTGCGGTTGTCATTGACAGCAGGAGGCGCAGGGGCTGTGAAGTCAGCACAAAAGAAATTGCGGCATCCGTGATGACAGTCTTACCATTGGGGGCCTGAGGAGCAGGCGATGCCCTTGCGGGAGTAGGAGAATTGGCGGAACCGTTCGCAGCTGTTGACACGAAATGTTAGCCTGTATTCTATGCAATTGTACAAGTTCTAAAACAATATGCGCAGATCGAGGAAGCCTGACTGGCGGAAGGTGGGAGATTGTCGCCAAGAAGCCCTTCTAGAGAGACCGATTTCAGCGGCCCGAGAGTTGGCGGCGCTTCAACGTCCAACATGCTGCGATATGGCCGAAGGGCGTTTGCGTTCTCCTTGTTGGAATAGAGGCTACTAGATCTGACTGGTGCCCTATGAGATGATAACGGGCCCTTAGCTTCTCCAGCGGCGTCCGAGGTGCCATACTCGAAGTGAGCATTGCGCTGGCGGGCTTTGACGTGATGGCCGATGTCAATGTGCATGTGCATTGTCGGAGCTGACACGGTATCGGCCGCTGATGCTGTCTTGAACGAAGCGACGAGGCGAAGCCAAAGAACTCGCAGGAGAATATACAAGAGAAAGAAGTGTCGCTGTAGTATTGGGAGGGCGCAGGCGGCTCCAGGCGCTTCGTCACGGGCGGTTCTTAATGATTCCAGATAGTAGATGGCGATGATGGCAGATCGAACGGTTTCGGGAGGATACCGAGTCCCTCGCGCCTTGTCTCCCGGAATATTGTGTAAAGGAACGGCCACATCGGTCGAACTTACCCATTGCGATTGTTAGAGATCGTGCGATCTAATATGTGATGTGAGAAGAAGGAAGGCACGGATGCTAGAAACGGAGGCAGGAGTTAGCGGACGGCCGTCGTCATCTCAGAGTTGAGGTTTGAGGGGATAGATAAATTAGGTAGCGTGAATAGCCTCCGAGGCAGGCACCTTGTTCCCTGACAAGTCGATTGCAGCCACAAGAAAACATGCCAAAAAGCAATTCCAAGCTGTGTGCAACGCGATTCATCAAGGGAAGGCATGATGGATGAGAGGAGCCACCACCGCGCACTTGAGGGTGCAAAAAAGAAAGCAACAGGAGCACATACGTACCGAAACGACACGCAGGACAAGTCAGTCAAGCCAAGTCAAGTCGCGTGGGAGGAAGGAGCAGCTGGAGATGCTGTGGACGCAAAGAAGGACAAACAGGATTCAACGAGTGCTCGAAAGGAGGAAGGAACAAAGCCAGTACAGACAGTGAAGGTGCTACTGACACTGGAATTGATGAGAAAGAGACGAAGATGGATTGTCGTGAATTTTTGGCAGTCCAGTCTGGGCAGTCAGTCAAGGGGGAAATTTGGGTGCTACGTGGAAAGATTTCACTAAAAGGGTCGTGCCAATCCTACCTCTCCTCCTTCTCCGCTCTCTATTACGGTACTACTCTCGCCCTCGCCCTCGAACACACACTCTCACTCCAGTGTGCTCTGCTGCAGTGCGCTGCAGTGCTGCTGCCACGCTAAGCACGACTGCGCTACGCTCCTTTGGGGGCTGGCAAAAAGGGGTTTGTGCTGGGCCTGGGGAGGGTCACTCGCCCAGGGGTAGACAGCCAGGGGTGCATCTAGCCGATCCCATTGGATGGCTTCCTCCAATTGGCAGTTGGAGAGCCTGCAGGCCGGGGGTCGGGTTGCTGTAGTACAGCAACTTACAGTAGCTGCTATCCTTTTAGGACAGCTCCAGTCCCGGAGCTCCAAGCTTGAGGTTTGATTAACGGCCTGAGGACGTCAACCGCTGCTCATTTTCAAGGTGGGCCTCATTTACTGCTCCTATTCAGGGACAAAATATGACTCTATCGCAGCAGCGCTCCCAATCCTCTCATTCAGGTGCAGAGCACACATTTCCTTATCAGCAAGAAGAATCTGGTGTGGCTGCTTGATGTTGCAGGATCTTCGCTATCCGTGATCCGAGCAGATAAGGTGGCTATCAGAATCAATGAGCTGCGACAGACATTCTCTGAGTGCCGGGGAGGCTGAGACAGACAGAGCTTGAGCCGGCATCTACCTTTTTTGCCAGTTTCAGTTGGTGAATTGTTTCTTCAATTTCACGGGCTAAAACATCAACCCCAATCCCAATCGAGAGATGGATCTCATGTTTCTCAATCTCAGTTCCATGTTGGCTGGATAAGCCAGGCTATTTCCTCTCCATCACGACGTGAGCCACGAGTCTCTGGTGGTAGAGCGCCTGTCTCCCGCCGCAAATGTCTCCAAAAGGCATTCAAACCTTCTCTAGATGGCGCCCCGTGTGTTTGCAGCGGGATGAAGGTACAGTGTCTACCTCCCTACCCAACGGCAGCCACAGGCTGCGGTTGCATTGTGCCACACATTGCCTTAGTTGCAAGCCAAGACGTCAAAGCAACCCCCACTTGCAGGATGCTCGCTCGTAGAACATTTAAAAGCCTTATCCACCTCGTTGATCCATCCGAGCCGGCTTATGTGAGTTTCCAGCACCGCTCGGTGCCAGCAAGCCACGCCCACCGGCATGTGGCATCCAGATATTGGTCCCGTGTTACACTGATCCCACCCGGAGGGTTGGGACACATTAGGAATGGCTGGAAGACGGGAGCATGAGCAGGACTACCACGCATACGAGCCACGGAAAACCTGCTTCAACAGCAGCGTCCCGTGTTCCCCGGGTTGCAGCCTTAGAGTCTACAGAATAAGTAAGATACACTTCGATCCTTACCCACGAATTAATTGTCTCGTAGACTGGAAGACAAACATTTCTAGAGTTATTTTCATTCGGGTTAAAAATCCATGGAGTGAATTTATATCAGGAAGAGGTTCAAGCACGCGAATCATTCATGATGCGGCACTCTATACTTGATTTCCGCCTCTCTTCGACCTTCCTAGACCTATACAACCCCCTAGCTTAACAATAAAAAATTCACAGCTTCAGCAACTCTATCATATTACCAAAACTAGTCTCGCTCTTAACCTCAACACAATGAAGCAAAACCAGCTAAATGCATATTTCATTATATCAGCGGAGAGTCTAATGTAGACCTCAGCTGATGTGGGAGACCATTGACCAAAAGATGGTAGAAATATACTTTCTGCCCAGAGCCAAGCGCCCTGCAAAACTGGCCGTTTTCCACCAAGCTCCAACCAGGTCCCCACTTATCCGCTGTAACGGAAAATTATCGTCATATACACGTGTATATCCTTCCCAGTTTCGGGTGTGATGTCAACAGTTTTATACGGTGCTGCCAGCTGCACGCTTACCTCACGCCCTCGTTCTGCTCAGCCTCAGAGGCTTGACACTTGAGATTTCCTCAAAACAGTCTCTCGCTCAAGCATTGATTCTCTGTCTATGATAAGCTGACGAGGTGCTGCGATATTTGAATGGCTGATCAACCTTGAATTGGCCCAACGGTCTGACCCGCCTTAGTCCTACCTAGTCCGTCACGCTGTCGCATTTATCGTAGGCGGCGATCATGAAGGCCGCACGTGCGATCGTCGCCAGCCACATCTGGCACCTTCGCCCTGCAAGATGCGCCCCTTTTTGGCAGTCCGGGTCAAGGCCCATATCGACCAAATCCTCAGCGCGGCTAGTCGAAAACAAGATCTGGTCGGCTGCCCCTCAGACCAAACTGCGCCGCGGTTTCTTCACATCGCGCCGGCAGAAGCAAAAGACAAATGTCACCGTGCCGGCGATTATTGCGATAGGCGCAATTCTGATTTGGTCACTGTACCCGTCGGATGCCTTTAGCAGCGTTCGACCGCTGGAAAAGCGCTTGAGGATTCGCAAAGATGGAACTTCATTTGATGAAGATGAGGAGCGGGAAAAGGCGACCAAAGATGCAGACCAGAGTCCGGCATGGTTCAACTTCTCAACCGGATTCCAGAAGTGGACCATCATCAGCGACGTAGAATGGAGCACAGTGTCGGACAAATTTGTCGACATGATTGTTCCGGAGTGGTCTAAGCTCGTTCCTGGATATCTTAGGAAGCTACAGCGTGAGATGTCCATGGCTCCTGGGTCCTTGGCGGATGAGATCTGGCAGGAAGCGCATGATCCATTGATCAATCCCGAGATACAGTATTCAGCACAGGTCCGGGTATCAGATGACCTGTGTGACGAGGAGAAGCAATTCCTAGCCCGCAGGAAAAAGGTCGCAAAAGTTGCGCTGGCCAGATATCTCGGGTTGAAAGAGAAAGACGTTCACGACGACGACGTCCCCGTTATAGCCATTTGTGGCTCCGGTGGCGGATTGCGTGCTCTCGTAGCAGGCACCGGTTCGTTGTTGGCGACTGCTGAGGACGGACTATTCGATTGCATCACATATACGGCTGGAGTAAGTGGATCGTGTTGGCTCCAGACCCTGTACAACTCCTCTTTCACAGGTGGCCGCCTTGACAAAGTCCTCGAGCACCTCAAGGTTAGGTTGGGAGTTCACATCGCATATCCTCCAACCGCATTTTCTTCACTGGTCTCTGCGCCTACGAACAAGTACCTCCTGAGCGGAGTGGTGGAGAAATTGAAGGGCGACCCAAAGGCCGACTTCGGCATTGTTGATGTATTCGGAATCCTGCTAGCTGCTCGGCTGTTAGTTCCCAAAGGTGAACTGGGGGTATGTGACAGGGACTTCAAGCTGTCTAATCAACGACAATACATCAAGTACGGACAAAATCCTATGCCTATCTACACCGCAGTACGTCATGAAATACCGGAACTTGATATCTCGGCACCCAAAGAGACAGGGTCAGCATCCGAAGCAGCCAAGGAACAAGCAAAGAAGGAGTCATGGTTTCAATGGTTCGAGTTCACACCTTACGAATTCTTTTGCGAAGAGTTCACGGCCGGAATACCCATGTGGGCATTGGGCAGGAGGTTCAATGACGGAGTGGACGTCCCGCCTGAGGATGGCTTTCACCTTCCTGAGGTCCGAGTTCCACTGCTGATGGGCATATTTGGAAGTGCTTTCTGCGCAACCTTAAGGCATTACTACAGGGAAGTGCAACCCCTCATACAAGGCATGACTGGACTCGGGGCTTTGGATCAATTGATCTCTGGTCATAACGAAGATCTTAGTCTGGTCCATCCCATTGATCCTGCAACTGTGCCCAATTTCGCATACAAGATGGATGGTAAGCTACCATCCACGACACCGCCAAGCATCTATAACAACGAGTATATTCAGCTCATGGATGCGGGCATGTCGAATAATCTGCCCATCTACCCACTGCTACGACCTGGCCGCAACGTCGAGGTCATCATCTCTTTCGATGCTTCAGCCGACGTTAAGACCGACAACTGGCTGTCGGTAGCAGATGGTTATGCTCGTCAACGTGGAATCAAGGGCTGGCCTGTTGGTGTTGGCTGGCCACAGTCAACCGCTTCGCCTAAGGAAACAGCAGCACAACTTGACGAGGCACAAGCATCGTCTACCGTTGAAGCAGAAGCGAAGCTAAAGGAGGCCAAGGTTGGTCAGGCGGTTCGCCGGATTCAGTCCGGTGCAGAAAAGGGCGCTGTTGACGGCGAAAAGAAGTTCAAAAACGGTAATGAGGAATCGGGTGAGCTCGGCTATTGCACCGTCTGGGTGGGCACCACTCAGGAGAGGACCTCGGAGCCTCCACCACCTTCAAAGGCAATCGACGACACGACAACCTGGCAACTGATGGAGGAGGACGCTGGACTTGCCGTTATTTACCTGCCTTTTTTGGCAAATGAGAAGGTCAAGGGTGTAGATCCAGCCACGAGTGACTATATGAGTACTTGGAACTTCATATACACCCCTGAAGAGATTGAAAAGGTTGTTGCCCTGGCGCGGGCCAACTTTGAGGAAGGGCGTGAGAGAATCAAGGCCACTGTACGAGCAGTGTATGAAAGAAAGAAGAAGATTCGCATTGCAAACGAGAAGAAAATAAAGCGCGACCGGTACCGCAGACTCGTGCGGCTGGGAATTAACGATAAGCTGGGAGAAGGGGATCATTTCAGTTGATAAGACATTTGGAGTTGACAGAGGGATGGATAATCATGTATCAACAAGGTCGGATATAGAGTACAAACAATGATACCCTGAGGTACAAGGTAAACTTCTTCATCTCACCGAGATCGGGGAGTGTGTCATTGATATTACACTTCTTGTCTAGTATACAGTGACAATGTAGACATCCCCCATTCTACTGGATCGCCTGATCCAGGCTTTGCTTTTATGTAAAAATATACAGCTCCCATAGGGGAAATTGCCGTGATCCATTCAGACCATTATATGCACACCATCGTCTTACACGTACATGCCGCTCGGTCAAGCTTATATGATCTCGCCGATGTCGACATGAACTGGCTCCCAGGGCTTGGCGCCTTCAAGGAGCATATCGCTTGGGACACGAACGTTCTCGCCGGGGCTATAGAGATACCACGCCTTCAGCGCATTGATGGCGGCCTTTGTTCTGGCTGCCTCTAGGCTCGAGGCGGCGCCCTCGCCGAGCTTGTCCTGGCCGCTGAATATGCCCACCACGAAGACTGGTGTCCGAGACAGACGACCGGTCTCAGAGAGGAGTCGGGCTACCGGCTTCTCAAACTCCTCTCTTGCGCATAGCTTCGCGAGCTCGCCGGTCGGCTTCTCGAACCAGAACAGACTTGACACGTCTAGCTGCCGCGAGAGAATATGTGCGCGTACGAAAGACTTAGCAGCCTCTCTGCCGCAATGGCCGTATATGGCACCAACCACGGCGCGGACGAAGGATGCATGGACATCGAAAGCAATCTGCATTTTCTCGTCCGCATTGCCCAGCGTCAGCCGGCGGTCCTCGGCAAGCTGATCCTCAGACCCCGGGATGTTGTCTTCCGCCAGTGAACTGGCGACTTGGTCGCCAAAGTCGTCGTCCATGACTACTCGGCTGGCCAATCCACGCCGCCACCTGTACTTGTCGAGGTTCTGAGCTTCAGGGCGAACGTAGCCCCATTTCTTGATTTGCACCCTGTCCGCGTCGAGCGAGAACTGCAACAGGCCAGGGTCAACCTCTTCGCCAGGTGCTGCTGCGCTTTCTACACCCCAGCTCTGTGCAACCTTGTGTAGTGATCTTGAGCCGGCATAGCCGTTCATTGCAGAGTAGAGGATGGTCATCGGTAGGCGCGGGTATCGACACATGAGCCATTCCGCAACGTGATAGTTAATGAGGGTCATGCCGAGAAACGCGAGGTTCGTGTTGTTGAAGGACGGATTTGCATCTGCTGAGGCATCTACCAACGTCCTTGCGAGAGTCTGAAGAGGAATCTTGTCGGAGAGTGAAAGTCGAGCGTGGAGGGCGGCGAGCTTCGCTGAGGTCAAGGCGCGGTCGGGGAGAGGTGACGGGCGAGGAAGGGCATTAGTACGGGTATGCGGCAGATCATTCTGGGTTTCGGCTTCCGCGCCATCTTCGAATATGATATCTGGTGAAGCTGTTGTGGACTGGTGCCGTATTAAGAAGGCAAATTGGTCTCTCCTGAAGCACCTATGGGCTGTTGCATTTGCAGCACCTGACCGGGCCCTTAGCAATTGACCCGACCATCTTTCCACCCGTAACCTCTTCATGAACAAATCCGAATGCCTTCTTCCCCAGTCTACTGACCTGGGAACAAAGGGGCTCGTATGTGGTGGACCGCTGGTGAATTGGTCGTGTCTTGTCGTGTGTAGCGCATGAGAAAAAGTTTCCACCGTCGAAGCTGTACTCGTGTGAGCGCTGCAGGGACCCCGGACCAGTGCTGCTGCTGACATAATTAGCGCACGGCCCACCCAGAAGAAGCGCGCAAGTCGGTGCCGGAAAATCATGGTGGAACACCCAATGGGACGCCCTGGAATTACCGTCCTCAATTCGTCCTCAACGCAACCGACGCTGCGTTCATTACATCAACCTCTATTCTCCCTTCAATCAGGCACCCAGTCAAGATGGTAAGCTCGCTGTCGTTGGAAATTGCTGTTTCAGTATCACTAATCAGTTTACAGGGCGGCGGAAAGAAGATTCCGTAAGCAATCGAGCTCTCCCCTCAGCGACACCCCGAACATTCTAACATCCTCCAGATACCCCAAACACGTTTGGTCACCAGCTGGTGGCTGGTACGCGCAGCCTGCCAATTGGAAGAGAAACACTGCAATTGCCGTCGCAGTTATGGGCGTATACCTTGCTGCCTCGTGGAAATTAAGCGCCGAGCTCGAGTACAGATACAAGATGCCAGAGCCAGATCGATTTTTCCCTAGTCGATAGTATGTTCAAAAATGGCCGCTGTTATGAGATCGAACGGAAACTAACGAGCCACAGCTGGAGCAGACAAATCATCGAATACGAGAAGGCGCAAAAGGAGAAGGCACAGAAGGAGAACTCAACATCTGCATCGTCATAGAGCCCCTGCTCGGTTCTTCTGTACATACTAAAGGAGTTATTTCGGGAACTGTAACCATTCACTGGAAGTGATCATATCACAATAGTCCAAGAAATATTGTGCTTGCATGAATCGTTTCTGAAACCTAGACTCTTCAGGTGAAATCAGTTGAAAGGAGTCTGGGCCGTTGAAAATGAGGATGACAATAATGTCATTGTCCTTGAATCACCCTCTTTCAACGATGCTTCCAACACGCAAAGGAAATTTTTCCATGGCAAGATCATTGTTGTCAGACAAAGCAAACCGACTTCATGTTGCTTCCTGTTTCTGTCTATAATAAGCCCATTCGCCTGGGCGGGACCAGGGATGATCAGCCAGCATCATTCACAGCCCCAAGCTATAAACAGTCTGCATTGAACAACCTTGATCGCCATTCAGAAACCTAGCCAACATGCCCAGTTCTTCCTTCGCCGCATCAACAAGTGTTGATGTTTCCGGGACCGACTGCTGCAACTCATACGTCCCAAAGCCTCTAATTACTTTTCTCTTCGACCAGCCTTCTAAGCTTGTCTGTCAACTCTGTAAAGAGACTGAGCTACGTCTTGGAAGCAGAAAACATGAAATCCGCGACAGCATCCCTGCTATTCTTCCTTGCGGTCACGTGGCAGGCCTCGAATGCCTTTTACAATGGATGGGTATTCAGAGCGAGATGTCCGGACGCAGAAGCTGCCCCTTCTGCCGAATGCCTCTGGAATATGCCTGCTGTGACCACCAACTTGAGCCTAAGCCCATCAACAAGACATCCATTTTCCATCTCCCGAAGACAATACCCGAAGGCGGTAAAATTCCTGACAATTGTATGGATTGTAGACCAATCACAGCCAATGCCAGCAATATGGACCTTGTTGAAGCTCTTAAATCCGGCTATATAAGGGCAAAAGCGAATCACGAGAGAACGAAGTCAGACAAAGACAAAGCTATTCTTGACAACCAGGCTCTGTTTCTGGAGAATACATTCAAAGCTCTTTCCAGAAAATATGTCGAAGATATGTTGGAGTGGTAAGTTAGAATGGAGCCCTAGCCCCTGGAGGCATTGCGTTGCTATATAAATGCAAGGTAGAGAGCGTAGTGGTGTGTTAAACATTAAGGTAAGTATCTTGAATCGAATCGTTCAGCAGGATTTCTTTGTTCCCATACCCTTAGAGCAAGTGGATTCTCTCTCTGTTTCTCCCAACAATGATATACAGCATGGAGACGGGGCATGCCTCTCCACTTTCATGAACTCAGACTGCCCATTTACATGACTTGTTAGCTGAGTTTCCGTTATAATTTTTCCCCGAGGCATTGTTTCCGCAAATTGCCATCTGGCTGTCATTTGGTGAAATCCTAAGCAGGTGTGAGCGCACCAACAAAGCGTTTCAGCCCCTGTCGGCTGGGTGGTTTTGATCCGGCAACAAAGCACAATTCACTGCCAAAGTCATAGCAATAGTAACTAGAATTTTTGTCATGTTACATTTCCGCTTCCGTCGTCTCGGTGCAGGTTGTGGGTGGTGGGATAGAATTCCTTCCGCTACGCTAATAACAACAAAGGCGAATGCTGTTGTCTTTGTCTTCCCACCTCGTCAATTGCAGCATCAACCTTGAACCCTACATATGATGGACAACTTTCCAATGAGAAATTGTTGAAGTATACTCGACGCCAAAGTCAACCAAGTTTTCCGTGGTTCGCTATTGAAGATTTCCGTCATACCGACTCTAACGAAATGATTGCTTTAACCCCGGAAACCAGCATGGCTGAGAAGCTAGACGACATCAAGAAACAGCTCAGCAGCATTCATCATGATTCAATAAAAGGTTCAATCGGCGCAATGAACGACATGGTGACACAAATTGAATGGTACGAACGGCGATTAGCTAAAGGGGGGCACTCGCGCGTCTTGCAGCTGATACAGGACAATAAAGTCATCGACTATATTACGACTTTCTGGAAGTCAAGCCGAGCAATTCTCAATGAGACAAAAGATCACGCTCCAACCGACAAAGATGCCGTGTTGGCGTATACTAATACATTGCAGCTTCACGTTATTATCCACGTGGTCATGAGATTTGTCCTTGACTGCTACGTAAGAGCAGAGACAGAGGTATACCCGAGTCAAGATGCCAGCCTTGCAAAAATGCACTTGGAAAAGGCCGAGGAAACGAAGTCTCTCGGCTTCTTAATCCTACACGAGTTCCATAAGAATCAAGCTGAACGGCATGGAGCATTAAAGTCAGAACTGTCTAAGGTGTCCATAATGCACGAATGTTTCAGTAGTGGCACGAAGCGTCCTCGAGATGATGAATCGCTTACTTTGCCAACCAAAGTAGTTGTCTTAGATCAAGAGGACAATTCTCGAAAAGCGGATACGACAAGCACTATTGCAGGACAACGAGTATTCGTAAGGCTGAATGACAAGTTCTTACCGGCATATACAGCCACCAATTCCCGAGTCTCGAGCCACAGGCCTGAAAGGCTGGATCTTAGTATCGATGCAAGGACGGCCACGCAAGACGAAGGCCGAGAGAGGCCATTTCAAGAGGACTGGACCAAGCTTGATCAGCTTGCTAAGGACAACACTCATCCGGACCGCCAGACGCAAGAGACAATGCTACGACTGGTCCTCATTCTTTTGCCCTTAGCCGAGCGGTACTACAGTGGCGTTATGGGCTCGCCTACCAGGGCTGCTTTAACTTCCCAGGATATTCTAGAGCAGCGTTTTCCAGGGTTTAAAGCACTTCACCACAAGCAGAAACAAGCAAACACCGATATTCTCGACCTCAACAACAAGATGCAGGAGTTAAAGATAAAGCTCGCATCCCTGAAGGATATGGCGCTAGAAGAGATGAATGACGAGCAGAAGCGTCAGGCAATCTTATATGACTTCTGCTTGCAGAAGCTGCAACAGGGCAAGGAGAAAGCTCTCGAAGTTAAGGAGCTCGCGGATCAGGGTATAGCTATTGTTCACGCTGTAGTGGCTGGTGAATCGGCACCCCCTGAGGCGACTAGTGAGCAATCTCTGGGCTTTCCGGATGATGGAGAGGCGATGATGGCAGTGTTACAGTTGCGCAAACTTAAAGTCGTCTTGAGGGAACTGCTAGTCGTTGGCGATAGGGCGGTCATAGGCTACTGTATAAGCCCGAAAGCAGGGGAAACATATGCTGTTTGCTGATATGCGTCATTGTTTTTCCCCCTCGACTATGTGTTTCTAAGATAGCTGCAGAACACGAAGAATATGAGGAGTCGTACTGATCCCAGTTCCAGGCTATTTCACACCGAAGGAGGCAACACATATATAGCAACACATGAGATTCGCGTTTCCTAGCTTTCCATTGGTGATAACGAATAAGCACAAATCTTGATGGTCGTCAATGCTCTACCAACCTAACGCCAAGCCAAAATTCCCCTGAAGTCCTACATTTACAAACACCATATCTTTCCCGGATTTTTACAAGAAGTAATCTGCGACAGGCTTCTTGGCAGGCATACCTCTAGAGTCCTGCGGAGCCGCCTGGAACACACGGTATCGTCGTGCTGGTCCACTCTTCAATCCTATATCACTCTCCATCATGACGCCCCTGAAACCCACACCACCGTCACTGCGCCCTACGTCTCCGTTGCTCCGGGAGAACACACCGAGTCCGGACTCGTCTTCCGAAAGCTCAAGCAGCGCAGCTACATTGCCACAACGGTAACAGTAATTCGGGGCTGACCAGACCGTAACGATACTGGCATCGAACATCTCCTTGAAACCCTCCATCACGAGTTGATGTGCACGGGCGATTAATGACAGATCGTTGCGGTGGTTAAATGTCTTAACGATATCCGCACCAAACAAGAAGCCAGCACCACGAGGTGAGAGACCCCAGCCGTCGATATCGTCTGGGTCTGACCATAATAGGTCGCACATGGCTCCCTCATGGGGGACCTCTTGCTTGCGGTCGAGCAGTCGAATCTTGTCTACCGTGTCAATGAGCGGACTAAGGCCGCCATGCACACATAGAACTGCACCGGCAGGATTGCCCACCGATCCGCCACTAGAGCCTGACGCACCGGAGCCAGGAGGGCCGGTCTTGGCGCCGCTGCCATTTCCACTGTTGGACTGAGCACCATTCGAAGTGTTGTCCTGCTGAGCGCCGCCATTGCCAGGTTTCTGCCTTTGAAAGCTTTGCATAATATTGCCGTCGGCATTGCAGACCTCGATCTCCACCTCCTGGTCTGCGTACTCTTGAGCAGTGATAGAATCATTGGCAGGCGACATGGTATTCGATGCGCCTAAAACAATAGCGCCGAGCGCAAGGTAATCAAACACATCGCAGCAATATCGCCAGACGTTCGCGCTACCATATTTTCGTAGACACTCATCGTAGAAGCCGTAGACGGTGGTAATTTGTCGTGATTCGTGGTTGCCACGAATTAGAGTCATGCGGTCGGGATATCGTACTTTGAGACAAAGAAGGAGAAGAAAAGATTCAAGTGAGTAGAAACCTCGGTCGACGAAGTCGCCTGTTGATACAGTCAGATGTTTGCGGTAAGTGAATAGTCTGCAAGATCACCGGCTATCATACCCATGAATAGATAATTCGTGTCAGGCACATCGCCGCCGACGCGGAACAACTCCATCAAATCGTGAAATTGACCATGAATATCACCACATATCTAAGTTGAGTGATCAGCCATCGCTTCCATATATTCTATGCGAATCTTTCCGTACGGTAACCGGGGCGGTGACTGTGACGACGTTGCCCTCCTCAATGAGCAACTCTCGTGCCTTGTGGCACAGTTCTCGAACTTCGGCCTCGGGTATTGGACGACAAGCCCGAAGCTGGGCGATAGCTCTGAGACAGATGGTAAGTATGAGACGGAAACGCCTTGCTAGGAAAAGAGAATGCGCACCTGTCCAAGTCGCTCATCTTCGCGATCGCCTCTGAATTCGAGCCGCAAGGCCGCGGAAGCGGGTGTGGACGGATCAGTTAAGGGGCAAATGACCTCATAACATTGCGGAGGGGAATATCGAAGCGCTAGATCGATCCGCTAGAGTGGTTGTATTCGTAAAATAGGGCACCGTATGTAATGATCAAATCGCCTTCACCATCCAGATTCTGTCGCGAACACGCTTCTCGCCTCAACTCAGCAATGGGCCCGTGCACGGTGAGGTAACTTTTAGCGCTGAGACCCGCCAACAGGGGTGAGGGTCCGATAGCATGCTCTAGGTTATTTTAAGACTAGGGCCTGCATTTTCGGATCTTAGATTCCCCTTCTCCGACCTGTCTTCTAGTGGCCCGAGCTTCCATGCCTGCTAATTTGCAACCAACCACGAAAGCTCTAAAAGTCAGGTCATCTCATCCCGGGCATCGCGGCATTCAGAGGTCAATTGCAAACATCACGGTCCCAATTGCGCTCAGCAAGCTTTGGCACAGGGGTATGACCTTGCCATGAGTATTTGTAAGTTCAACCAAATCCTGCTGTGTAGCAATTTCTCACATTTGCCCTAGAATTTGCTCGCGGCGCGGTTGGTTCGTCATCATGCCACCACATCTTCACCCGCGGTCACGTATGACCTCCTCCCTCTTCGCCACGACAATCCTAGCAAGCTTCTTTGTTGTCACTCTACCACATGTTCTTCCATGCCCGGCACCCCGAGTCACATATGCCGATGGAGAGCTCTCAGATCCTAATGGCAAGAGGAGGAGGAGGAAACCACAACCAAGCCCAGAATCGAGGGAAGGGATCGTTCAGTTCAACAACATCAGTCAAGATGATATAGAGGCCGGTCGAAGGTCCAAGCGAGAATGTCCTGTGCCCAAGCCAGGAGGTGTAGTGGGGGGATTGCTAGGGTTCAACAAAGCGAATGACGATGAGACCCGACGACGATGAAGGGCAGGCAACGAGCTATACGAATTTTGCATCAAGGCCCTGGGCAGAGAGGGCTGTGTACATAATCGCACATCTGTATTATTGCTTGCCTACGAGCAGCAACGCTTCAATAGCATCAATCCACAAGGATTCACGACCAAACTCGTTCGTCACAATCAAGGGGCATGGGTAGCTAATGTAGGGAAAGATAATTAACATCTGACTGAAAGGAGCGACTGTTATGAAAGGTGGATGTCACTGATTGTGGAATCATCGGCAAGCCACGTTCTTCTTCCACGACGAGCCGACTATGTAGTGAAGTCTCTCAAAGACAGCTTCATTATGCACAGGTCTTCTACAGCGTCGCTGCAAGTATGGTATATGAGGCTAATGTGGCAGTTCGTTATTCTGTTCAACGGATAGAACACTGGAAGCTGTACCCAGCTCCTGTTTACTGTGGAATGGATGATGTAGTCGAGTGGTACGGCATAGGCGTCGGACAATTAAGCCGTCTCTTGGCAAGCAGTTTGAGCTTGCGAAACGGGATCCACGACCACAAAACCTTCTAGAATGCTTCTCGGTATCGCCATTTTCATCTCACGGCCAGCCAGCTCACCTGTATCTAAAAACGGCCGAAAGATTAGGGTAAAATTGACAGTGATTCAGTCGTTACAGTCAATTTGAATCAATGCTAATATTCATTCCAGGATATCTGTTTAAAATGATACATGATGAAAGGTTGTGGAAGAGGGAAGACTCTACTCAAGAGAGCTACAGCCTCAAGCCCGGATTTTGCATCATCTTGTTTAGTCTTGGCAGTGCGAGCCGTGTCGGCTCGTCGATCCCGTGTAGAGAAGTGTCACAGATTCACCGGCTGCAGGTTGGCAACTGTTAGGAAAATGCATACACGAAACACATAGTCTCCAGCATTTCACTAACAACCTTTACCAATTTCGACTCACATGCATGACCGTGGCCGTTTTTGACACGGTGAAACGTGTCTTGACGGATGCTCACGAGAGGCCTTTTTATCACGGTGGTAATTGGAGGATCAGGAGTTGCCAAGTCTAGACTGTCAAGCTTCTTCTGACTGGGGTAATGCCCGAACACCCTCGTTTCTCTCTGTCGTCCCATCACATACTAAGCTTATTGCCTACACTAACCTTATTATCTGGGTCTTAAGATACTCCATTCAAGATAACCAATGCTTCCGTGGGACGACACAAGACGGGATGGCCAACACCGAACCACAGGAACAGTGTTGTGAGACTCGTCGATGTTATGCATTGCCTAGAAATTCTCACCCCTAACCTACCTCTTCACTCGTACCCTTTTATCAATTACCGCAGGCAGACGGTTTCATCGACAAGCCTGCCACCACGGATTCTCTGGGTGATGTGACGGAGAGCGGCCTCTGAGATGACGTGTGGCTCGAACACAGAGATATATATGCCCTCTGCCTTCATCATGCCGCTTTCTGGACGTTCTCCCGCTTTCGCATCTCAACCTTGTCGTTCTCTGTTTTTTACACTGTTTCAAGAGGTCTGTCTGCTCGCCCGCAATTCATGATTGAGACTAATGATATAGTAGCTGTGCTCTGTTTCGTTCACTTTTATTCAAGTAAATAGGTTGGTGGACCATCGCCTCAGTGATAGTGTAAGCAAAGACGTTAACATCCTCTGCAGTTTTGACAATTATTATTCATAATCATGAAGACCCTGGCGGCCATTTTCCTTACAGCCGGTGTGGCATCGGCGGTCAACCTGGCCTCTCCGATTATTCAGAATGGCGCCATCGATCCGAATTTGCTGGCGAACAGCTCACTGGCGCTGAACGGCACCGATGTTTTCAACAGCAGCTTCGACCCGGCGTCTTTGAACCTGGGCAGCCTGAACTTGGGCGGCCTGAATCTCGGCAGCATCAACCTAGGTGATCCTCTGTCCTTGGGTCAGGGTATCCTGGGCCTTATGAACAGCTTTTGCCTCGGCAGTGTTGTTGATATCAACTCTCTCCTGGGGCTGGGTGTCAGCAACGAGTTGAACCTGTTCCTCCAGCTGGCCCAACTCGCTCAGCTCGAGGCCCTTGGTTTCCTCAATGTTGGTGGCATTCAGCAGCTGATTCAGTCCAACCTTCTCTTCGGTGGTGGCTTCAACAATTTCAACCTCGGAAGCAACTTCAATCTGGGTATGTCTGCAACAAATACCTCTTATATTCCAATGCATACTAGGTCACTAACAACGAGTAGGCTTTTTCAAGCGTGCAGTCGAGGAGGAGACCAAGAACCTGAAGCGCACCAGACTTCGACGCAACATCGCGAAGAGACAGTGCGGCGATGGCCAATCTGTTCAGGCCGTTCAGGTGTCTCCTGCAGCTCCTCCAGCGGAGGCAGCTCCAGCTGAGGAGCAGGCGGCAGCACCCGCTGATGAAGCAGCCGAGGCAGCACCAGCCGAGGATGCTAACGCCGGCAATGAGGCGTCAGCAGACGAGGAGAACCTGTCAGACTTCACCCGCTAAAGGTAGAGAAGCGTGGGACTACGCATGAGAGTGCTCGTCAGTTAACCACGCAATGGCGCAACGATTCACCGCAAGTTGCCTGTAAGTCAGGGCTGGCTGGGCTGTCACAGGGGCAACGCAATACTGCTTGGACGAGAATTGAGCCAAGAAAAGCCAAGCTTGATGGAGAAGCTTAACCAGTTTCACGGGGTGGCCACTTGGGTATGGGGTAAGGCGTCAACTGCTTTTGTGCTTCGGTAGATGGGCAATCCGGCAAGGACAAGGGACTACACAGTTACTAGGGACAATATAAAACTCTGGGTCTGGCTTCAATGAGCTTAGCCACTGTCGGTACCATGCTTTTTCTCCATTAGGTGTTTGCACATGGGTCGTCCTCGAAAGTCTACGGGTACCCCCTGTCTGGCCACGGCTCTTCAACAAATACTCCGTGTTTCGTGGCGTCTCCTCCCAGGCAAGGCGCTCTAGGTCAAGAAGCTAGCATCATGGTTGTGTGGGAAACAACTTAAGCTTACCAAATTGTTTCGTCCTCGATTGACTGGATAAATGATAGTTGTGTGTAGTAATCGAAGACAGCCGTGTGGACATCGTCAATGTGTCAACTGGAGAGATACTTCAGATCATCAGAAACAAGTTATTTACGGAACTGAACCGTGCAACACTGACTATCAGACAAAGACTGTCAACTCTTCGAGTGAACATCAGATGCAAAGGCAGAGAAGAGACCAACTGACAAATTCCAATTCTTCTTACGTGCTGCCAAAACCAGTTCCTTGCTTGTGGCTCGGATGAGCCGTGAATCCGAAGAGCGCGCCTCCCGCTTCTGAGCTGACGAGAGTGATTCGATGGGCGATAGAAGTAACGTTAAGTCAATGCCCTGAAGCGAAGCTGCCTCAAGTCCCACAATCTGCGACAGTCTGGGCTGAAGATCGGGACACGGAAAGGGGGCAGCAAGAGGCCCTGCATAACACGGTAGGACCAATGCTGGCGGCCCCAGAGCTTCACATCCCTGTCCGCGCAGGGGCCAGCAGGGGTGGTACAGGGGGCCCCCGGCAGTTGATAGCAACCCCGAGCCACCCGGAGCTTTTAGAATTAGGCGTGCAGGCCTAGCGACTTAGGCCATTTCAGCCTCCTCCGCAGGCCGTTGAGGCCGTGCATTGCCATTTAGCCACCCCGTGACAGGCGTCTGGAACGTGCAAGAGCCCCATGTCCCACCTGTCAACTCTACTCTACTCGAGTACTCCCACATCTACACTTCACTCTACTCTACTCGTACATGTGCAGCGTGCCGTCGTCCCGACTTGGCTAGACAGGTGCGACGAGCCATCAAGGAAATGTCCGTGAGACTGCCGCATTGGGCAGGGTCCCATGCACCTGTGGCCGGTTGATTGGCCCCGGCATTCGGATGAAGGCCGCATCCTCGCTTGAGCACATCGCGACGAGCAAAATCGGGTTTAGTCTGGCAGGCTTTCTTTTCAGGCCTCTCAGTTGGAGACTTCTCCAACTTCCTCTCATGGCCCCTTGTTGGTGACACTGGTGCTACGCCCGCTCGAGCCGCCGTCCGAACAGATCAGATATCTGCTACTTCGCCTCGGCGCTGTCATCTCGTGTCGCCCTCGGTACCGCCATAAGATGCGTGGTTGCTCTGCCATCTGAACAAAGTCACTCTGCTCGCTGGCTCACGCCGTTGAAACACACGAAACAACCATTCAACCTCGATGTCGATCATGTAGACTCTCTGGGCCGAGAAGCACCTTGTCTCTGCGGCGCCTAGGTTCGGTGATACATCCAAGTCGCTCGGCGCCCACAGCCAAACCGGATGTACCACCTCCTCGACGACAACCTCGAACGATCTCCATCATGGCCTCCAGTAAGGTTATTTTGCCTCCCGGCTTTCTCTCTCGTGTCTTCCACCCCCCTTGTGGGTTCTCAGCAACCCTTCTAATTTAGACTCCGGCCAGAGCGGCTTCCGTGCATGACGTCGCAACCGGCCTCGCTGGATCTGGCCTCTCTGGTGAACTTCCCTGCTCTTCCGTAGAGCAGATCTCTTTTCTCCATTGGCTCCAGACACACAGGCTCTAGACCATGAACACGGCCTTGAAGATCCCCAACAAGTGCTGGCCTGCCCTGCCCTGCCCTGCTCTCCCGCTGCCCAGCACTCCTCGTTGCTGGCTGGCTCTGTTTCCCTCCATCCCCAGCCTGGCGCCTCATGCCCCCCCTGCCCTGCCATCCTGTTTTACCCAGTCGTTTCCGTCCAGTGACGCCTGACATCTGATACGCAACGGAAGACACCTCCTTCGCACATCCGAATATACGTCGAGCCCCGTTAGTCTTGGCAGACGGTAACCTCTCATGCCGTGGCATGGGTGGCATCGCATCGCACCATCTCCATGGCCCATCTCTTCGATATATAAGATCCCACTCCCGTCTAGTGATGAGATCCTTTTCGTTTCCTCATCCACACAAGCATCTTAGCCTTTCAAGTCCGCTTTTCATTTCATATTCAGTCATTCTCTACTGAGGTGAGCAGAAAAAACCCCCCACTCCTCACGATCTCTTGACAGATCATCTTAGATCTAGATCGTCAACAGCTTCGAACGGTGCTAACATCTCATCTAGCTGTGCTCATTGTTCGCTTCACTCTTTTCAAACCTAACTCTTGTTGAACAAACTGAGGTGAGAAGATCTACAACGAGGCTCCGGGATCAGAGCACTAACGCAAACATTAAGCTGTGCTCGCTTTTGTATAAACTTTAATTCCATTCAACTACATTCTTTCCAAACATCAAAATGAAGTTCTCCGGTATCCTCGCTGGCGCTTTCGCCACTCTCGCCGTTGCCGCCCCCACCAAGGAGGTTGAGGCCCGTACCGCTATCGACCTGTCTCTCCTGAACGGTCTCAGCAACTTCAACGCCATTGACATTCAGTACCTGAACGTCATCAACTCCCTGGATCTTCAGCTCCTGAACACCCTCGCTGTGAACAACAACTTCAACTCTCTGGCTTTCCAGGGCCTGTTCCAGAACAACGTCTTCGACCTGAACTCCATCCTCCAGCTCCAGCAGCTCCAGACCCTCCTCCAGTTCGCCAACCTCGGTGTCTTCAACCAATTCGACCTCGCTTCCCTGCAGCTGCAGCAGCTCCAGCTCGGTCTCGTCTCTGGCATTGGAGGCTTTGACTTCAGCTCCATCATTGACCAATCTCTGGTTCCCCAGATCACCGCCATTGCGCAACAAACTGGTTCGTGTTCCTCCTCCCTGTGATCGGCCGATCCTCGTGTGTCTTCTTTTCCCAGGGGCTAATCCACCATGCAGTTGTCGTTGCCAAGGAGTAAATCTCGCCGCACCGGGCAGATTTGACTCTGAATAGCCGGTTCGGAGCCTACCATTCCACCAAGATCGCTCAATAATGGTCGCGGACTGACGACTTCGCACGGGGGGGTTTTCCTAACATTACTACAACATGGGGCTCTTTTTTTCCTTTCACATCGGTGGTGTTACAACGGGTAGACTAAGATAACAGGCGGGCTGAAGCCGAAGCAAACGGGACGAGATCACGGCCGCAACCGGGTCTGGAAATTTTGGTGTTCCTAATCTTTCTTACGCTACCTTTTCTCTCCCCTTCCGGGCACAATCTCTCTAACCTCAAAAATCAAAACCTCTCATCTACTCTCGCTTCTCTGGCGCAGAAGGATTGCATGTCTTGATTCTTACGAGGGGCAAATTGCCGGTCTTACTAGGGAGAGGTAGTCGCGGGGAAGATAGAGAATGGAAACTGATTTGGAAATGAATTTCGCGGACTTGAGAAGGAGAAGAGTAATGCAAGCCATGTTCATGTCAATACCTTCTGTGTTTTTCGTCTATACAGATACCGTGCACTGGAGTGAAATTGGAAGCTCATGGTTTGTTTTTTTTGCCCTCAGTGTGCAAAACACAAACGACTCTTCAATGTGACACATAAGCTATGCTAGTGACGTTGTCAATTAACCTTGACTTCGGCAGATTTCAACTCTAAACTTTAAGCATTAGCCAAGCCGTCGGGGTTGTGTCACTTTTTGCGTGATGTGCGCGGGCTGTTGACATCTGAAACGTGCCGGGGGTTGATACGCTGGGCGCAGGGGGGGTGGGGGGCGGGGGGACCGAGCCGATCTTTTGAACTTCCGCTCCGGAGTTCAACTCTTCCGCGCGCAGGCGGCTCATGTCAGCTCAACTCTTCGAACGACAATCGGATCATGCTTCTTCTTGTTTTCGTCTCTATGGGCGTGATGTCAGATGGTACAATTTTGGCTTTGTGTCTTTCAGTCGCTTTCAGGGGTAAGCGTCGTCCACAAACCGCCAAGACTTGCTTGCAGATGCTCGCACTCGACTCGAAATGCCATGAGGAGAACCTGGGGAAGTATAAATCATGGTTGCGGACATAAAGTACGAAACAAATCAACTAGAATGATAGAGATTATGAATGGTATCAATGATACAAAATCTTTCTCGTCAACTCTTAACAACTAGCTTCTATTATGGATAACAATGCCCCATTTCAAGTCACCAGGTTACTCCATCAGCACAAGGTGAATTCCGATGCAGATCCTTCTTCTGTCGTTCGCGCTTTTAGTTTCCGAGTCGCGACAAGGATCAATCTGGTACTTACGAGGTTACTCATTTCCAGGTCGAGTTGACCTCAGAAGGGTGCATCTCTAAGTCTCATCCTAATAGATGCGCAATGAAGGCACAATATCAGACCGTTCTTGGTATTCTGTTTCTCTTAAGGTCTGTGAGCTGTGCTGATGGCTGGTAATTCGTGCTATCGAGAGCGATAGGTGGTGTGTGTCCTAGATCTCGAAGATTGTCTCTCGTCCTGTGAATTTCGTCTCAAAATCGAAGATTGGTAGTTGGGTTATTTTGGTGGGAACAGTCGCGGGTACTGTGAAAAGGGTTGGAGAAGTGCAGTCCGAGCTCTGATTCGATACTATAGAATCTGCATCCGAACTTTGTCTGTTTTGACTGCTTAAAGTGTCTTCTACTTGGGACTCCACTGTTAAACGGCTTGTCAAGTAATTGTCTAACGAAGTTGCCGATCGTAGTGGCGGATCAGTCGTTGCAGGTGTCAGAGGACTAAGAATTGATGGTTGATGATGGCTTACACTCCTTTGTAAGCACGATTCTGTGGGCGGGTTGGCGTGACATTGGCAGTCGTGGGTCGGCATTAAAGGATGAGCAGTCAACTCTGGCATACTGGAAGAACTCTGAAGTGCGCTTTGAGAAACTAGTACAAACATATTAGTTCGCAATCTTCTTGAGCTTGAAACATAAACTTGCCTGATGACTCCCCTGCAGTTTTTATTCTATTGTTTCTTGCACTTCCTCCTATGAGCGATTGAAGCAGATCAACATTCTCAAACGTCTGCTCTCGTTCAGCTTTTGTCGCAGTCGAAGGCATTGCAATAGATTGAAAACGAAGCCATTGAATTTCAGTCAATATTGTACTGTTCTGAATCGCTAAGTTTGGCACCCGCTGGCCAAATGTGTCTGCATCTGCAATGACCCATTTGACTCGGGCCTTGACGCTCGTTCGTCCGCCGTTGGCTTCGGGACGATATCTTATTTTTAACGTCAGCATATGCTTGCTAAGATATGGTTATAGAGTTGAGGAGTGCTTGTATCTGAAATGACTCGGTGACAGATACAGTCATTTTTTTAAATAACACGAACGACTTGCGTTTAAGAAACTGGTAATAAGACTCACTTCTCGAGCACCGTGCCAATGTCCTGAATGGCTCGCTTTGCAGTAACAATCAAATTGTCGATTCTGTTTAGTTCCCGGGGCGCCATCTGTTTCAAGGTTTCCGCTTTCTCGTTCCGTAGCTGGATTAAGTATTGGATGTTTTGCCATATTGACTCCACGAGCTCCATACACCGACTTACTTCGTCAGGAGCATTTTCGACCTTTGATAGCCATACTGCGAACTGCACGATCTTCCCAATGGCTTCGAGACCGCTCATGACGTCGACCATGTTGAAAAGTTTTGGGATCTGTGAGAAGTTGCTTCGTGCTACTCTGCCAAATCTACCAGAGTCGATAAAGGGGCAATTTAGCGGCTTGAAGTCGTAAGAGAATGGGAAGTAAGCACCTAGTGCTAAATAAGAGCGGGGGAAGACCGCGAGTACCTTTGGAAAGAGTGGGAGGGGAATCAGATATGGCTGGCTGCAAGGTGAACGAGCTCTGCGGCTACGGGCTTCTGACATTCCGCATGGCTATACCAGGCGGCACCAATCAACAGAGTATGTGACCACGATGGCGTCTGTACAAGAGGGAGGCTGGGTGCCACAGGCTTGGCTGTGTTCAGCCGGCTACCTTGTTTCACTCGATGACTGGTTGACTCTGATTTGCATTTTGACCAGGCTTAGAGGTTATTGCTATCTTAAGCAACACATCTGTTCTTTTGCATGGGAGTTAATGCTTCTCTAACACGCTGAGCTACGACCAAGTAAAAGCTATTTGAACCAAAATCATTTTACGTAGAGATAGAACGCTGGAGATATCCCAAGGAAAGGTTCTATAATTGTAGGGCTGGCACAGCCTCCTCCGTCCAACCTCAAAAATGTTATCGAATCTAGGGGAAAATGATGGAGTTTCTAATAGCGCTATTGTAGAAACACTTGGCTCATTTTAAGATTACACTCGTTCTGTTACAGGATAAATGATATATCGCGGTGGCTTATACAAAACGCCATTTTCATCCCTTGTCTTCATCAACCCTGGATGGGTGACAATTTCATCGCTGCCCTGCCCAAAATCGTAGAAAATTTGAATATCTTCAGGTTGACTGAAGAGAACGTAGCCAAATTTGGTGCACTCAATGATTACACCTTGAAGGTGGGCCTCTTGTTGAGACTTTTTATGCTCATCCGTGAACAAACCAAGAAATTTATTCAAACGCACCACAAGGTTTTTAGCCGGTTGTATTAACGATGACTCTTGTGGTACGACGGCGTTGCGTTCGCTACGACTAGGGTTGAGAAGAAACGCAGTTATTTGCCGCCATCGTGTAAACGCAACAGAGACGGCTTAATTGGTTATGTTGTTAGTTAGTCTGTTGTGTCGATTTCCACAATTCCCATAGAATCCACTTACCTTCTGCGTTGCCCGTATGTTGTTCGACGGGTGGTATTTCTCGTGGAAATTTGGCTATAGCTGGACCAAGCATTGAGGGCCGGCTTTCAGGGCTGAAGACAGTTCTGCCAAAGACAACTCGGGAAATCATATGTTGAAGAGCCTGATACCTAGTGGCTGGACTGACGGAAAGAGACGCGAGTTGCTCAGATGCAGTCCCAAACCCGAGGTCTGTTATGGTTTCCGTCAAGGTTTCCATATCGACTTGGATGGGGCGCCGATGATAATAAGCCTCAACATGCAATTGCATCAAATGTCCTAATGCCTTGAATTCGTTTGTGATTTCTTGGTCAGGTTTCGGCGCGAGGAGGAAATCGCCTAACTGGAGAATGTTCGATATCGGTGGAGGAGAAAATGTGGTCTTGTTGTTGTATGTGATCGCTTCATGTGGAATAGGTGCATCGAATCTGTTAGGTCTGTTTCGTCTACGGCGTTTTAGGAAGATCAAAGCTACCAAGATTCCGATTATGATGCCTCCAATGAGACAACCAATTGCGATACCAGCGGCCGTACCACCATCAATCCCGTCATGAGAGGGTTGCGTGGTGGGTCCTGAGGTGCTTGTAGTCGTCGCCGCCAGTGTAGAGGTCGTCGTAGCGGTCCCATTGGTTGTTGTGGAAGTAGGCAAAATAGTCGAGGTCGAGGTAGAGGACGAAGAAGAAAGAGAAGATGAGGATGTCGACAACGACGACGACGAAGAAGAAGATGATGATAAAGAGGTGACTGGCAAGGTTGCCATTGTCAATACCGATGTTTGGAGAAGCTGCTATATCGACTAGGTTTGAAATTCTTATTAGAAATTACCATCAACTTAGGATATGGCGACGTTCCACGGGTCTAGAGTGATTCGGATTCTTGGGACAGAAATTGGATTAACACTGCAGAGGGAAGGACAGATTACGAAGGTAGCTCAGGACTCTGGCATTTGGCTACAACATACACTCCAAATGACTCACTCTAAGAGAGACATCTATAGACTCTGGTGAGTAACGAAATGCCGCATTATGCCTTCTACGTAGCACAGAGCCTTGCCAACTTTCACCAGTCTGAGGTTGTGCCCCTTCAGCCAGGTGTTCCCCTAAACATCACCTTCCAATAACGCAGCTAAGCCACTGCCACTTTTTTGGCAATGAGGCACGCCTCAAAGGTCGTGTAACATGACATAAGAAATGTAACGAGAGTTACTGGCCACGGCCAGACCTGAAGGGTGCTTAGATTGACGAGGCTCTGCAAGCCACCGCAGGACCACTTCCGCTTATTCGCTGTGATACGTTCGGAGGAGATAAGATGGATGGCCCTCGCAGATCAACCCTGCCGTTCGGCGAACGCCATTTCTAATTATGATAATCAAAAGGAGGCCCAAACTCACGCCAGCCGCAGTAATTGTCTGAATGGGCACTCAGTGCATTTCCACCTCACCGGGAATTAGCCCCAGCCAGCCGGCTCGTTTGGCTTGTTAAAGGAACTCTTAGTTTAATAGCCTGTTGTACTTCCAAAAATATCGGTTGGCTGCATGTGAAACCTGCAGGTTCGCATTTGTGATACTAGGAACTGTGGCTATGTGTAACTAAAGGCAATGAGGCTACGATACCGTGTATTATTCTCCTGGCAAGAGCCTCTTTTTGAGTGAAGATCGAGCTGTCCGAGTCGAGACCTAGAGGTTGGCATCAATGATTGGATGAATCGTTGTTTGCTAGGCTGAGCTCAAAGCAAAATAGAAGAGGTGATGTCGAATCTGGGCTGCGCGGCGTCTTCCTAGTCTCATGTTTCCGGAGGTATAACTAGGGCACGTAGACTGATAAATTGACCGTGTTATGCCAAAGCACATGTGCTCTAAATTTCAATAGATTAACTCTCTATCACAGCCTATTCCTCTCTTAGTTCTGTGGGAATACTGTCACCCGCATCTGTACCTTTTCAGCAGATCAGATCAGGATGAATCACGGGAACCGGCCAGAAATACTGGTAGCAGTCGACCTTGGAACCACTTACACTGGTATTGTCTCACGTGGAACCAAGGGGGACCCCTAGGCTAATCACTTCACAGGCGTTGCCTGGGCATACCTCCTGGGGGACAATGCACTCCAAAGTTCCATCAACTACATCCAGGACTGGCCCGGCTGTTCAACACGGCACGAGCAGAAAGTGCACACATGTCTCATCTACGGGTCCAATCCAGAGCACCTGACAAGCTGGGGCTTTCTGTGCGAGGACGACAACAATCCCGACGGACAACGCAGAGAGTTTTTCAAAATCTTTCTGGACAAACATAACCTTCGAGAAGCTCAGAAGTATGGCATGCAAGGCGTGCCCGACAGCATCGAGGAGGTGCAACAGCTCTTGACAGACTATCTCTCCAAAATATACGAACATGTGAAAGCAGCGATTCAGAGACAGACTGTCATTAGCCAACAGAGGGTTTGGTCCGATATAGCAATTGAGTTTATATTCAGCGTGCCTACTACATGGCGGAGCCTGGAGATTATCAATCTCTTCAAGGACGTAATCACAGCTGCCGGCTTTGGGACAGAAGGAAGCAGCCATGTTGCTACTGTCGAGTTAACGGAATCCGAAGCCGCAGCCGTGGCAACAATGAAGAACAATACCGTAGCCTTCAGCCGAGGCGATGTATTCCTCTCAGTGGACGCCGGCGGCGGGACCACCGATTTCGCGCTGATGCAAGTCGTCGAGGCCAGCGGACCTTTTCCGACGATGCGCCAGCTCAGCCAAGTCGACGGCATCGGCATTGGCTCGACACTGATTGACAAAGCATTCTATCAGCTGGTCCAGCAGCGGATCGATAGGTTCTCCAATCCCCACCACAGTCTTCCGGACGATTGTGTCGAGAGCCTCGCTCGATCCGAAAAGTTCAAGACTACCAAGCACAAATTTGGGCACAGCGTATACACTTTGGATGTGTATAGGTTGCCCATGGAGGGCGTTGCGTACAGCTGCAATGACGAAGGTGCGGGTATCAGGGGTGGACATTTGGAAGTGACAAAGTTCGTGCAACAACCATCCCCTTGATCTTGACATGGTCTTGGGAACGTTCAAGTCTGACCACAGATACAGAGAAGATATGAAAGCTCTGTTTGACCCTCATATCAGCAGCATGTTGAAGAAGATACGGGAACAGCTTGACCTGGTTCAGAGAAAGGTAAACGGGCAGCGCGTTGTAAGTCATGCCACTTTGAAAAAAAAAAAAAAAA